CCAGGAATCAAATTCTTCCATGTAAATCTTCCCAGCTGAAACCAATGTCAGACCACTTCCAGGTAGGTAGTCAGTCTATCCATGGTTTTGGCTGATATGGGAGATGGGTGCGGCCCCTCTCAGGTTCCTGTCCCTTCTTTTTCATCTCCCTTCTGAGTGTCCCAAACACATCCCATGTTAGACCTGGCTCAGTCTGAGTATTGCTGTGGTAAGTTTTGGGCTCTGTTGCATCATGAGGAACAGCCTGACATGTCCGTGGGGTCATAACATGTCACATAAACGAACAAGCCACAGTCACGTCACCAATCTGTTGCCCTTCCCATCACATGGCAGATGGACTCTGTCATTAGTGAGTCTTCATTAATTTACAAGGGGGAGCCAGCCCATGCTCTGGGCTAATAATTTGCAAGAGGAAGGTATCATAAAAGAATGGAGAGCCTGTTGTTTAGACTGTCTTCAAGAAGGGAAAATTGTCCTGGTTTTTAGTCTGATGCTCTAGTCAAGTGCCTGCCAACTATCAGGGCTGGCAGAGAGGAATGATGTAAATAGGGTGCCTGGTTGCAAGGCAGCCGGGGCAGGGATTGGGCCCTTCAAGCCTTTTAAAATAGCAGTGCAAAAGGCCAAGTTTTGGGGGGTGCAAATTTCCTTGCGAGACAAATGGCACCTGTCTGCTACCATGCCGCTATTACAAGGCACTTGGGCTCTGTCCGCTCATGAACGTAAAATGTCTGTTTTCCATCACTGTCACAGTATAGCAATACAATTGCCATCTCTGTAAAACATGGGTCCTCAAACTAAGGCCCAGGGACCAGATCTGGCCCCCCATGCCCATTTGGACCCGCCGCGCCCGAGCTCATGCATGCACCCGCCGCCGCCCACCTCGCCCCACGCACAGGGAGGCAACGGTTTGCTCGCTTAGAGAAAATGATCTCCAAGCAAGCAAGCAAGCTGCTGCCTTGTGCACCTGCCTCCCCTCCCCTCCCCGTGCGTGCCCGCCCACCCGCCTGCCCCTCACCACGTGCCCTGCCCCCACCTCGGCGCACATACCTGGACACACCGCCCCCACCCCCTCACCGGCCGGCGTGCACCGCCAGCACCACCTTTCCGGCCCACGGCTAGCACTGGCACCCTTCAACCGCCCCCCTGCTGAAAGAGTTTGAGGACCCCTGCTGTACAATCTCACATGTACAATCAACAACAGCAGTTCAGTAGCAACAGAGCATCAAACTGAGTGCCCTTAAGAGAACTGGTTTTACTGTGATGCATCCTTCCCCAACCTGGTGCCCTCCAGGTATGATAGACCTCAACTGCCATCACTCCCAGCCAGGTAGAAATGATGAGAGTTGCCGTCCAACGTCTGCTCCACTCGTATTTTCAACAATAACGACCCTGTAGGGTAGGCTAGGCTGAGCGCAAGTGACTGGCCCAAAGCAATCCAGTGAACTTCATGGCCAAATGGGGCCTAGAACCCAGATCGCCCAGGTCCCCAGCCACACCGCACTGGCTCGCAGGTCAAAGTGTCCGCGCTAGGGTTGGAGGGACTGGCTCTCACGCATGCCGTAAAATCATCGCAGGATCTTAGTCCAGTGTTTCTGCCTCACAGGGACATAGGGAAGATAAGAGGAGGATGGGGAAGTACACTGTGTTTACCACCCTGAGCTTCTTGGAGGAAAGCCGGGTGAAAATGTAATTTAAAAAGAAGCTAAGCATTTTCTGTTGTCATTCAGAAATAACACTAAGGGAATAATAAGAAGGGAAGGATAATAATAAGGGAAAGAAGGATCCCAGCAGATGGCAAATTCCGGGTGTGAGGCTCTGCACTTATCTCTCTTATCTGCACTCTGAGCAGCCTCTGAAGATCTTGATAGTCACATCCATGTAAGAGGAGACATTTAAAACTGTGTATTTCCTTGAAAAATTAGATTTCCTTTCTTTCCCAAATCCAGAATGCATCATGACTGCTTTTTATTGTGGTTTTCTGCAGGCTGCACCTGTTCTGTATCACGGAAGCTTTCCCTCTACCATTCTCTACATCGTTTGATCTTATCTCATTTTTAGGCATCTCTGTGCCCTGAGGTTCACTCATTTATAACAATTCACAGGAAGAGAGATTGCAAGGGAAGGATTCTAGCACCCATTGCTTAACTTACAGTAGTTAATTAATCCAAAGGTTGTCATTTCAGGTCCATTATCTAATGAGAATGGTGAGTTAGCATAATCAGTGTTGCCCAACTTGGTACCAGCAGTTGGACTACTGCTCCCATCTTCCTGAGTCAGCATGGCATTGTTCAGGCTAGCTGAGGAAGGTGGGGGTTGCAGTGTAACACATCTAGGACACCTTGTTTGGAAAGGCCGATGTAAACGAAGGGATATTTGCTGTTTTTTAATTCAACTATATTTGTGCTCAACAGTTCATTTGTTGCTATGTTACGAAGTAAAAGGAAGTCTCTCCCCCAGCCTTCATTTGCTATCCCAGAGCTAACAGACCCCCTTAACAAGTGCATCTTGATTCTATGCATGTTTAACTTGGAAATTCTAATGAACGTCATGGAACTTAATTCCAAGTAAGTGCACATATGAGTCTGGCCTTCACTGCAACCATCTCAAAATACTACTATCTACTATAGAATCGTGTCATTGTAAATGCTGTAGTCTGTCATACAGCCAGTGTAGTTTTACTCAAAAACAAAAGCTCTTCATATGCTTTATGTACATTAGCTATCTGCTATTATTTGAAGCTGAGTTTATGTTGTCTGCATTTTATAAGAATCTAAGCAAAGAATATGGTTGCACACCTTTGCAGTTTCTTCGCATTGTTGTGTGGGGTAATGTCGCCCTTCAGTGTAACGTCTGGGTGATAAAAAGAGGTGGGGTGAACGAGGTGCCCAATTTCAGCAGTGATGGGTGGCGGGGATATGGCATGGGGTGGCTCTACAAAAAGTTGGGTTGGAAGTTGTTCCCTTGACCACCCGGTTATCCTCCATCTGTCAGGATCTCAGTTGCCTTGTCAGCTGGTCCCAGTAGCTGGTCAGGTTGGTCAAAACTAAACCCTTTCCTAGTCACAACTTGATTGAGGATGAGAAGATCGACTTGCTATGTATCAGAGGCTTGGGTGGGGGAGCTGGGTGGTTACCCTTCCTCTGGTGCTGGGCCAGAAGAAGACAGGGACAGTGCTTAGTATGCTGCCAAGCAGCTTCTCTGAGCTGGCAAGGATCGTCTCTGGGATGGTGGTGGAGAATCCAAGGATGGTTGCCCTTGGAGATTTCAACACGGCCATTGTAACACACATGGAGATGTCAGCATGTCCCCAGAACATGCCCTCGAGCTGTTATTTGCACAGTGGTGTGAAGGGGATGGTCTGTGATGGTGGTATCAACCCATTGGTTTATCATTACCCCGTTACCATGCTCAGAGCAGTCATTGAAGTTTGGACTGATGGGCCTTGAGTCCATCAGCAGGGGTGGGAAACCCAGTAAGATGGTCCACCTCCAGCTTTGAAGGATTCTTGGGCACTCTGGGAAATTTTCCAGATGACACAGCTGTGAACCTATGGAAGCCCAAGTCTTGCTATAGAATGATGGGATGAGATAGGGATAAGACCATTGTTTGCTCATGGCATGGTCCAAGACCAAGCACTGATGTGAGCATGAAATGGGCTGATGATAAACCAATCGTTTCTAAATGTACTTTTATTTCATTGTACTACTGTCCTGTGACTTTTTGGTGAAGGATGGCATATAAAGGCTTTAAATACGTAAATTCCCTCTACATTGCGCTACAGTCAGGTATCTGCCCAATTCTCCTTGAGTTACAGGGAATGAGGCAAGTCAGATGATGGCCTGAGAATTGGTGGCAAAAAACCCCTAACCACAGATGTGATTGAATGGTGGCTGGACGGAGCAGTCAACTGCAATCCCCGAGCTGCAGTGAGGGCAGCAAAGGCGGCTTGCTTTACTCTTCCACTGTAACCTTGGGAAGCCTTTGGAATTGTGTGGTTCAGTGTCTTTTAGCAGCAGGTGGCATGTGGGATCCTACAGACACCGCCTGCTGAGGAACAGTCACAAGGCTCTTTGGGGATGAACTTATTTGCCTGTGAACTTATTTGCCGCCTTATTCATCCCCCTTATTTGGGGATGAGCTTATTTGCCTGTGAACTTATTTGCCGCCTTATTCATCCCCCTTATTTGGGGATGAACTTATTTGCCGCCTTGAATGCCACCGTTGATGCAGGTCCAGAGAGGGGGACCGGCGCACCATCTTGTCCAGTTCTGCTGGGTCAGGCTCAGCTTCTGGGGCCTGATGCGACGCCCAAACGCTGGAGGCTTTGTGCCAGTCCGTCTTGCCGTGCACCGTTCCACCTTTCAGACGTGCTCGGAGGAGGTCGACGAGGCGGGTCCACGGCGTGCGCCTTGAAAGAGGCAGCCATGCTCCTCTAGCAACCCTCGCGGGCCTCGGCGCTTAAGACCTGGCACCCGACCGGGCTGTACAGCATTAGGCCTTCCCCCGCCATTTCGGCGCCTGACTCGAGCTAAATTGGGGGGGGGCGCCCCGCCGCCCCGCGCAAGGAAAGGCCGGGCCGAAAGGCCTCGTCCTCGGGCAAGAACACGTCGCCTTCCCTCTCCCTCCCCGCTCACAAGGCTCGCGGGGCGAGGGGCCGCGGGCGCCGTCGCTCGGAAAGCGCGCCGGGGCCGGGCCGGGCCGGGCCGGGCCGGGCCGGGCCTTCCCGGCGTCTCAGGCCGGCCGAGGCGGGACACCCTGCGGGGGCCGCGGCGACGTGCCAGCTGCGCGGCTGGAGCGGCGACGAGGGGAAAGTCGCTTTCGCCGCCCAGGGAACAAGGCCAGGCTTCCTCGCGAGGAGCCGCCAGCGCCCCGCCACGGCCGCGGCAGGGCCGCTCCCGCCCGGGGCCGCCGACTCCTCCTCCGCCGCTCCGGAACAAGGCGAGAGGCGGAGCTCGGGGCTCCTATATAAGGGCTCCGGCGAGGCGGCGGCTCTGTCATTCCACCGGCTCCGGTCTCCAGCAGCCTGCGAGGGGCGCTGTTGCCACGCTCGCCGCCGCCGCCGCCGCCGCTTCCCGCGCCTCCGTGCCCAGACGCGGCGCTCTGTTCTCCTCCGCGCCTCAGCCCTCGCCGCCAGCGCGCCCGCCGCCTCCGCTTATGTACTTCGCCGCCTCCATGAACGGATTCCGCGACAGCCGGATCGAGGAGGGCTCCTTCCTCTTCACCTCCGAGTCGGTGGGGGAAGGGCACCCAGGTGAGAAGGGGGAAAGGTGCGGGGCGGGGAGGGGGCTGGGCGAGGGGCCCGGCGGCGGGAATGGCGGGCGCGCGCTCGCTCGCTCGCGCTGGCGGGCTAATCGGCGGGCGCGCCCCGCGGGCGGCCAAACGGGCGGAGAGCGCTCGCGAGCGGGCCCTTTTGGGCGCGCGCTGCTCGAGCAGGCGCCGCCTCGGTCCCGATCCGGCGCGCGCGCTCCCCTTCTCCCCACGCCGCGCTCCCCACGCGGCAGGGGGTGGGGGCGGGGAGCCGAGGGAAGGGTGACGACACCGGCCTCTTCCTGACGCGCGCGCGCGCGCGCCCGCCCGCCCGCTCGGCCCGGCTCGCTCCCGCCCGCGATCGCGGGGACGCGCGCCCGCATTGCAGACAACCACGTGGTGCCCTCATGGACGGTCTGGGAGGGAGAATGGACGGGGGGGGGGCGATGGGAGACCGGCGTCCATGTTAACACGGGATCGGGCAGGGCGCGGGGCAGAGAAAGGACGGTGCGCGGTGATGCCCCGCGCGGCGGGGCGGGGGGCGGAATGGCTGCGAAATGGGTCCCGTAGGGATGGGAGGCAAGCAAGATCAAAAAATGCATGTACGGTTACCTAACATGTGTTCGTTGTGTAACAAAGCGACCCGCCGCACAGTGCTGCCTAGCAAGCCTGCTCGGCAGTCATGCTCACGGAGTTCGGTGGGCTTTACTCCCAGGTAAGTGTGTGTAGGATCGCAGCACGTAGAACGCCTGGAGAGCACTTTCTGCAGCGGGCCGAGTTGGAAAGAGACTCGGGCGGAAGGAGGCTTGAGAGTCTCATTGTCCTTCTCCGCCATGATGCCTGGGAGGTCTCCTGGATGGAGGGGAGGGCTCCTGCTAGGGTCGGGCTGCCTCATTTTGGTGGTGGAGGATGTGTGCCTTTATACACTGTAGGGAACACTGTTCTAAATATAGTCTGTTCCAGGAGGCTGCCTAGGAACAAGAAGGCTTTGATGCAAGAGCGGGGTGGGTGGGAATTGGGTCTCTCGCTCAGCCCCCACCCTGCACCTTGTGCAAGTGGCTGCTGCAGAAAAGCCTGCTGGAGAGGGCTTGCCTTTTTCACCGCAGGCATGTGGCTTCTGTGGAAGAACTCCCCCATGTGCTGAGTTTTCAGGGCCATCGTAGGTATCAGCTTCACTTTCTCTTCGACTCAGACAGTTCACAAAGAAATATAAAGGCATGAATTGGGGATTAACATTTTGCTCTTCAAGGGACATGTGTTCTTCTGATCTTGTCAAGTGGCCCATGTCCCCATATGTACACATATCAGTCCTTGGTTTGCTTTGTAGCTGTAGCCTCCATTAAAACCATGCAAAATACTTGTTCATAGAACAGTGGAGTTGGAAGGAATATCAAAGGTCATTTAGTGCAACACGCTGCTGGTGCAAGGAATTAGATGCACGATATGTGACCAGCTCTGCATAAAACGCAGAAGGGCAGGCGGCACTACCCTCCGAGACTGCTCCACAGCTAAATAAGTCATTCTGGGTTAAAAAGACAAATCAGTGCTTTTTCACAAAGTTTATGTCAACTTATAAATGTCAACCCTTACGTAGTTGATCCTTGAAAACCTTTACCAACAGAACGTGGTGATGGCTACCAAATGTGGGCAGCTTTAAAGGGGGATTGATTTCTTGGAAGATAAGGCTGTGTGGCTACTGTCCATGCTGTCTATATATTATCTCCAAAATCAGAGCTGGTACATTTCCAAAGACCTGGAGGAGGGATGCCATTGTACTCCTGTCCTTTATCAGCTTCCTATAGCCATTTTGAGTGGCTACTACATGAACAGAAATCTAAGCATAGTCCACTCTGACCTATCAGCTGTTCTTAAATGCATTTAGATCGGGGGAGGCAACCTGAGGCTCTCCTGTTGTTTTGAAATGTAAGTTCCATCAGCCCAAGCCAAGATGGCATATGGTCAGGTCTCTGGGATCTTTATCCAACACATCTGGAGGTGACTAGATCACCTCCTTGCTGTGGGCAACAGGCTTGCCTTAAATACTACGCTATCTCTCACAAGACTGGCAAACCTCTGGCACAGGGGCTGCTTCACATTGTATTTTTAATCCCCTAGGCTGATCAGCACTGGTTGTGTTTAATTTTTTAACATGCAATTAACCAGAGAATTCTGGTTGTTGATAGACTAAAAATAGAATAAACGACTATGGCTTCAGGATTAGATAGCATTTCTAGCCTATAGATCACACAGTTGGCTCTGAACTGGCTCCAGGCACAGTCTTTTGCAGGTTGCAAGCTGACGAATGTGGGTAGTTGTAGGACTTTCCTATCCAACCACATAGGATTTTGCTCTTCGTAGCGTATCTTACACAAGGTTACAGCTTTCTGACTGGTGAAGCAGCCCCACATTCCCATTAAAGAGCCTCATGCACTAGCCATTACCTGTTGTGGGAGTGGCATGGGCCCCCCTGCAAGGTGGCTGAGTCCTTGCAAGACAATGGACTAGGGCAGGTCCCAGAAAGGATATGTCTCAGCCCAAGCTTATTGCTGTAGCATGTGGATAGCTCTGAAACACTGCATGCCTCTCAGGTTTCTGTGCTCCATTAGAACATGTATCGTAGCAATCTTTTCCAACCCGGTGCCCTCCAGATGTTTTAGATCACAAGTCCCATCCAGAATGCTGGCGGTTGTATTTGCAAACATCCAGAGAGGATCAAGTTGAGCAAGGCCACACTGCAGTGTGGCTTGGTGCGTTATCTGGCTGAAACCTGCCTTGGTTTCTGGTTGGGACTAAATTGCATTCAGATCATACAAGGTTCTGGATTTTGTAACTGGGCAGCTTGCTTGTGCTTACAAAACCGAATGCAGTATTGTACACTTGAATTGTGGGAATTTGGTTATGAATGTCTAAGTAGAAATTAGGAAATGGGGCTGAAAAGCTTAATACAACCTTCCTGCATTTGAGGCATTAATCCTTTTGGCTGGGAATGATGGGAGTTGAAGTCCAAAACAACTAGAGGGTACCAGGTTGGGAAAGTCTGGTTTCAAAGATATATGGGGTTAACTATAGCTGAGATTGAAATTGAGGAACACTCATGTGGATCTTTTGGCAGAGATATTTTCATAGGAGATAAGAAAAACTTGGTCTTGCTAACTAGCAGTAATACCTTTATTATATGCTTTTGCACAGTGGTACTCAATATTAAATTTTTGATAACTGTTAATCTGGTTATCAATTGCGAGCAAACAGTATTGTGAACTGTTGTGATGCAGTGGTGTCAAAATACATAAAACTTGTAACGAAATAGGTCAGAAATTTATGACACTCCAGATGGTGTTAGGCTCCAGCTCAAGCCCAGCTAGTTTTTCTTGATCAGAGACTGGGAGTTGTACTCCATCACTTAAAGAGCCATAGATTCCTCAGACCAGCCATAACCACCCTGAGACATAATGCCCTGAGACATTGTGAAGGGCAGGATATATAAAGGTATAAATAAATGCAAGGAAGTCCCAGGAATTTCAGTCAGTGGATTGGCAAAAAAAATCAGTGCTGTTATCAGCCAGAGTAGACCTTTCTGGGAAGGAAGCGCCATATTTACATGAACAGGCTGATAAGGCAAATTCTTTATCTGGTTCACAGTCCTAGAAACAACCAGTAAAAACTAATATTTCAGCTTGTATTGTGTAATGCCGTTAATACTAAACTTGAACGGGTTCCATTATGGAGATCGGGAAAGTAATGGAAGTTTCCTTATTTCAGATAAGATTTGCGATCAAATTAGTGATGCTGTCCTAGATGCCCATCTTAAACAAGATCCAAATGCCAAAGTAGCGTGCGGTGAGTACACCTGGATGTTATATGAGGAACAGCAGCGTCTGTTGCGGGTGTGGTCAGCAAAAGCTGCCACTCTTCTGCACTTGAGCTGATGGCACTGACTCTGTCCTTACACAGAAACTGTTGCAAAGACTGGAATGATTCTTCTAGCTGGGGAAATAACATCCTCAGCTGCGGTTGACTATCAGAAAATTGTTCGTGAAACAATCAAGCACATTGGCTATGATGATTCCTCAAAAGGTAAGTAGGCCAGTCGCATAGTGGACCACCCCTAGATTATTCTCATTTCAGATAGAATGCCCTTGACTATTCATGCTTGCTTGTCCTGAGCTTAATTTGTGCATTCTAGGCTTTGACTACAAGACCTGCAATGTACTGGTCGCTCTGGAGCAGCAGTCACCTGACATAGCTCAAGGAGTCCATCTCGACAGAAAGGAAGAAGATGTTGGTGCTGGAGATCAGGTTGGTGCTAACAGTGCCTGGATTCATCTTAATTGGACTCACAGATCTAATCCTGGAACCAGTTATTTTCAATTTAGGAATGATTTGGAATTAGGAGTGAACAATGAAGTGGCCCAGTTTGCCAACAACTCCAAATTGTTTATTTAAAAAATGTTTTAATAAATAAAATAAATTATCTAGGTTGGTTAAAAGAAAAATTGTTTGTGAGGGACTTCAAAAGGATCTCTACAAACTGGGAGAAGGGTCATAAAAATGACAAATGCAGGAGAGGAGAACTCAAATTATTGAAGGGGTGGGAGCAGCTCCCCTGTGGTAGAGGTTGCAACACCTTGATTGAGACTGTTTAGCTTGGAAAAAACGGTGAGTAAAGGGAGACATGATAGCAGTGCACAAAAGTATAGAGAAAATAGTTAGGGCAATCATTGTTTCCCTCCTAATGGTGGAATCCAGCATTATCCTATGAAGCTGATTGGGGGGGGGAGAGTCAGCACAGCACGGCATGGAAAAACTTAATGGGGAAGGAGACTATCAGTGGCTACTGGTCCTGATGGCAATATACCTCCTCCAGTACTGGAGGCATTTGCTGGGGGATATGGGTGAGAGGGTGCTGTCTTATTTGTGTCTTGCCTTTGGGTTTCCTGTGTGCAGTCAAGAGAATGCTGGATTGGATGAACTTTATGACCCAGTAGGTCTTAGCTTTAAAAACGTCATTGTTGGAAACTGAACTTTACAATCTCCCCTCGTGGTTGTTGTTCTTATCGTTGACAGGGTTTGATGTTTGGGTATGCCACCGATGAGACAGAAGAATGCATGCCACTGACTCTTCTTCTAGCACACCAGCTGAATGCAAAGTTGGCAGAACTCCGTCGTAACCATTCCTTGCCCTGGCTGCGACCAGACTCGAAAACTCAGGCAAGTTCCTTGCATCTGTTACCCAATTAGAAGGTGCAGAGAAGCAGGCCGAGAAGAGGAAACGTCTCTTGTTAGGGAAAGCTTTTCTATAGATGCTTTTCTGTTAAATTCTGTGAGCTACAAGCAAAAAGTACACTGAAATATTGCAAATGCTGATGTTTTCCTTGGATTCTTTCCAGGTGACTGTGCAGTACAGGCAGGATCGTGGTGCTGTCATCCCTATCAGAGTCCACACAATTGTCATTTCCGTTCAACATGATGAGAAAATTGGACTGGATGAAATGAGGGATGCCTTGAAAGAGAAGGTGGTCAGAGCCGTTGTGCCTGCAAAATACCTGGACGATGATACTATCTATCACCTGCAGCCTAGTGGCCGTTTTGTAATTGGGGGTCCCCAGGTATGACAAGATGAGGTTTTTGTTTCTTACCTAGTCTGGGTCGATATAGTGCCATATAATGGCCAATCTATTTAAGAGCCGTGTGCTCTTGGCTTGCTGTAGCCTGTGTTTATCCAGCGATGTGCTGGATTCTTTACTAAGATTAACAAAAGATGTAATTACCTAATTCCTGATTGCAGGGGGATGCTGGCTTGACTGGTCGGAAGATCATAGTGGACACCTATGGTGGTTGGGGAGCCCACGGAGGTGGTGCTTTCTCTGGTAAAGACTACACGAAAGTCGACCGCTCAGCTTCTTACGCTGCTCGCTGGGTTGCAAAGTCCCTTGTGAAATCTGGTCTTTGTCGAAGAGTGCTTGTTCAGGTACATTCAAAATGTTGCTCCTGGGATACAGGTTTTATCTAGTACCACAAAATAATGAAATTGATGTGAGAATGCAGTGTTACTTGGGTCACGTAGGGTTAAGATGTCACCTTGAGACTGCCTGAAGGCAAGGATGGTTGCCAAGCGTTGCTGAGGCTTGAGAAGGTTGCAGCAGGACTTGTCATCTTAAGGGGGAGGAGGTCTAGAAGGCCAGTGTTTCTGGGTCTTTTACGTAGAAGTAAAACTGTATTTGCAAGGATGTAGGTTTAGAAAGAGATGAGAGTTGGGGAGGAACTGGGTGCGGAGGAAGGACATCATTTGGCGATTGAAGCAACTGCGTATTTTAATGTTTGTGATGCGTATCAACCTTGTTCTCAGGTCTCCTATGCCATTGGAGTGGCCCATCCACTGTCAGTTTCGATTTTCCATTATGGCACCTCTCAAAAAACCGAGTATGAGCTGCTAGAGATTGTGAAGAAGAACTTTGACCTCCGCCCAGGGGTCATTGTCAGGTAAAACATGGTGGTGCATGCAAGTGTCGAAACAGACACCTCGGCGGTGATAAGGATGGGGCTAGGTGTAAGCAGGGTGCCGTGACCCATCTGGACGGAACTGCCCTTCATGCACTGTGGTGTTGGCCATCACCCTTACCCTATGCCAGGGGTCGGCAACCTTTAACACTCAAAGAGCCATTTGGACCCGTTTCCCACACAAAAGAAAACTGGGCCGCAAAACCCTTTTGACATCTAAAATGAAGATAACGCTGCATATATCGCTTTTTACCTTAATGCTATGCATATCTTCATTACGATTTAGCTGCAGCTCTTGTTTAGTCACTGAAAACTTATTTTTAATCTTACAATATAAACTAGTAGGACTCCTTTCGTATATTTTGAATAGGAGAACAGCTTCCTGCAGAGTCAAAGTCAGTGCTAAAGGGCTGCATGCATTAAACAGCAAACCCCATAAGTTCGTCAACAGTAAAAGCAAATGAATCTACCCACTTATCATTAAACGTTTGGTTTTCTTCAGAAACTTTTCTTCAATTTATCCATGGTTGGCTACTGGGGAAGTGGCAGATATAGGTGTGTTTAGTGACTGATTAGCAGATAAACAGTCAAGTGATGTGAACTGTGACAGGTCCCAAGCGCAGCTTTTATCATTCAGAGGAAGGAGATGACATTTGGACAAAGAGAATCTGTTCAGAGGGTTTGGTGTAACATGAGAGCCTGCAGGAAGCTTGTTCCACTCTTTCCCTGCAATGTCAATTTACTTAACCTGCTGTTCCTGAGTGGATGCCTCATCATCATCTATTGGTATTTTGTAACTTGGAGCCTCGGTCCCAGATCGGCGGCTGTGATGTGTATTTTGGGCGACGGAGCCGCAGCAGGGGGAGTCAAGAGCCACGTGCGGCTCCGGAGCCGCGGGTTGCCGACCCCTGCCCTATGCCCTTCACCTCCGCTACATACGAAGTGGGTTGGCAGGCACCAGTTTGATGTGCAGTGGTCACAGGAGGTGGTTGCAGTCTCCAACCCCTGCATGTGCGTGCTCTTGAGAAAATCAGTGGGTTCTGGGTGTGTTTATCTCTGCAAACACTCTTTGATATGTAATGTTTAAAGGAGAGAACCTGGGCTGCTTCCCTCAGCGCTCACCCGCTGTATTCTAGACTAGTCTTCCCAGCCTGGTGTCCTCCAGACGTTCTAGACTGCATGCCCGGCCAAGGCCTCACTGGATAGGGCTGGTAGAAACCGACATCCAAAATGTTTGGAAGGTGGCTGTCGGTGAAGGCAGTCCCTGGTGTCATGTGCTTAGTGGGGTCATGGAGAAAGGGAAGAAGTCCAAACCAGAGTGGGTTGTAGGACGGTTGGCCAGCCACACAAGCACTTCCATCGCCAGGGCTTCTTAAAGTTCCAGCCAGTCGAAAAGGAATTCGGAATAAGAAAGTGTACTTGAGCCAGAAATGTTACCAGCTGTGTCTAATGTCAAAGCCTTTCCTCCAAACATCGCCAGTGGCATATTGTAGTAGCAGCTAAATACACCGTAGCAAAACAAGCCTGTTCAAGAGCCTATAAGGAGTTTCACATTAGTGAATCGGCACCGATTTGGTTTGTTCTGAGAAAGTTAAGCCTGCCTTCCGGAGATCTATTTGGCATTTATTCTGAGCTGACACCTAGGGCTAATTAGCGAGCTCGTTCTTTTGTTTTCTTTTACTGGGTGTCTAGTCCCAAGGAGGACCCAGTATGAAGGCAGGCGGGCCTAGTTGTGCAAATACCGCAGTTCATCAGAGCTGTGCCAATGCCTTTTACTAGCTGTTGGAAGTCAGGTGGGCTTGGTTGGATTAAGAGCTGGTTATGCAGTTAGGAAGTACCATTCCCAGAGGAGAGCCTTGTGATGGTCTGCAGTTGGATGTAGCCATTCTTAAGGAAGGGTGAGTATTCCATGATCAATGCCAGCTGAGCCCAGGGGCTTAGACTTGCTTGGGCCGTGTTTATGCTCTTGCCTGTGGCACCCAGAATGGGGACACGCTATTGAGACTGACCCTGGTGAGACGCCACCCTGGTCTCTCTCCTAGGCCTGCAGCATTGACCCATCCCTGCTAAGAGGCCGTTCAGGTGTAGCTGCTTTATGCTTTGCTTGGTAAATGCCCTTTATTGAGTTACGGACTTGTATATTCCAGGGATCTGGATCTGAAGAAGCCTATTTATCAGAAGACTGCAGCCTATGGTCACTTTGGTAGGAACAACTTCCCATGGGAAGTGCCCAAAAAGCTTAAATACTGAATATGTTGGGCGTCTTTCCCCAGACCTGTTGGTGTACTTTACAGAGAAACCTTCAGGCTTTTCTGTGGGAAAGAGCCCCTATTCCCTAAACTGGTCCTGTCCTTCTCTGCTCTTAACTTGGCACACTCTGTCCATGGCTATGAATATTAGTCCTCCGGGGACCGCAAATTGCACTGTGCTTTCTCCTCTTCCTGGTGTGCTTGACGTATGAGTAGAGCCAGTTGAGTGTAGGGCACTATATGTAATATATAGAGAAGAACAGACTGTACTCACAAGAGCGCTTCAGTCTAATCCTTTCCATTTCCTCCCTTCACACAACGAACAAGAAACTTCCTATGTAATGTACGCAGTCTGATTCCATATGCGCTCTTCAGGCCCTTAGGCAGCATGGTGCAGTGACTTGGCTCTGTTGAGAATAAAGCCCACCGCTCCACCTCGGCTCCGCTCGGTCTCCCGCGAGCCGCCACGACCACTTCAGCAGATAGCCAGCCGTGCATGCAACAAGTTCCAGTGGGAACTTCAGTCTCGCGCAGTTTTTACACAGAGGCAATTCGGGTCCAGCAGTCAATGGTATTACGCTCCACAATCCAGTCAGCACCATATTTTAATTATTTCCTGCTCTTTGTCGGGGGGTGGATGTATTAAGGTTTTAAAAAAAATCCTATGCACACGTTTAGCACTAGCCAAACCTCACCATCTTTATCCAAGGGGCGCTTGGCCAGCCTTGTGGCGTATTACAGAGAAGTCACAGGGTCGGACCCAAGGTCTGTAGGCTGCACACTTTTGGCGCCTGGAATTTTTTTCTTTAGAGCCAAGAACTTCATGTTGCACAAAACTCCCAGGGTTTTGTTTTCTAAGCCAGGTCCAAATTGCATTCTGAAGTACTGGTGTAGCTACAGAGAAGCCAGTGCCAAATGCATTTGGAAGGGATGAGGGGAGAAACCCTACATACTTGAAACTTTTTAATTGCTTATTTATTGTGTTTGAGACAGTGTGGTGTGAGTACAGAGAAGCCCTTGTCTCAAATGGCAGCTTTTAAACTTTATTTTGACACCATGAATTCCTTGACAGTTTCCAGCATTCCCTGCTAGGCCAAGGTGTCCTACAGAAAAGCCTTGGGTCACAACCTACAGGGGGTCTGGCTTGTGTAAAACAGGGGAGGGCAGTGCTGGGTGACTGGCCTTGGGAGGGGCTAACTTGGCTGGTGTTGTACAGAGAAGCCAGCTTGTTTACCTGCCCGTCCCATGGCCCGTGTCTTCAGCCGGAAGTGCCTTTTGCGTTCCACTTTTTTTCTGGGCATTTATTACATATGTCTGGTTCTTGAAATTCCAAGTTGATCTTAATAAAGTGCTAGGTTCTAAATTTGTTGTGTGTCTGGTCTGATTAGAACAATGGCCCTTGTGCTTTAAAGGGGTGTGCTGTTTACACTGGCATCCTGCCGTTTAGGCAGCTGTAGTCTTCTCATTTTACCTTCACTGCCCTGTTAAATGGGTTGCACTGGTGATTAGTGCCTGGTCCCAAGTTCACCCGGCTGAGTGGGGGGCACTGGCCTTGTGGATCAGGACAAAGGAGCTACCCTTGGAGCCCAGTAAGAACACTTCTGCAAACCTGAGCGTTACCCCAGATTTGTCATGCAGCCCAAGAAATATAAAATGTTCCACTTCGTAAATACATGGTCCTCATCTTTTTCAAACATTTGGGGATTTGTGCCCTCAATTTTTCAATCAGAATGCCTTAAAACGTCTCTTTTATAAGGGGTTGTCTAATTCACAGAGATGCTGCTTTGTGTTGGAGGAGTCTTAATATTCACTGATGTACATGTTCTGTTAAACTATTTACCTGCTTCATGGAAATTAACATGGAAGAAGAAATGCATTCTCTGTATTAAAAGAAAATCAGAAGGATTAACAGTTCTAATAAGGCCCTTGACCAATTGCATTATAACATGGCTGGCAGATCCCCCCCCCCCCGCCCCAGTTCAAAGGGACACTTGAGTATTTGGTCCACTCTTGCTGAAGCCTTTGTATATTTGCTAGAAAGCTCTATGGACTTTGTACATGTGCATATTACATAAATTGGGTTTTTTTAAAGGGTACCTGTGAGCTCCTTAGGGGGGGATCCTTTTGCGGACACCAATGACCCTGATCAGCTTAGATTATGTAAGAGATCTCCCAAGTTCACATGCAGCAAAGGGCATGCAAGGTCACAGCAAGTTTGTTTATTCAAAACATTTTTATGCCGCCCCCATCGCAACAAAGCATCGGGGCGGCTTACAAAAATATATTACAGGACATCAGTTTATTAAAACTGACTTTGTTGAACAGTAACTTTGAACAGCTAGCAATGTCATACGATTTGACTCCTGTTTACAGTACAACAGCCTCTTCCCTTAATGTGTGCATGAAACATTTAGAGGCAAGTGTCCACAAATTTAACCCACGACAACTAAATCTTCCTCAATGAATTCATAGTTTGGAATCTCAAGATTGGCAGGAGCTGGGCCTTTACGGACTCTGCCAGATGCGTCATAATGCGACCCGTGGCATGGGCAGTGATGGCCACCACACTCTCCAGCATTAGCAATAGGTGCACAACCAAGATGGGTACACACACCTATCGGTACAAGCCACTCCGGCTTCTTTACCCTGTCTAAATCATGCTGTGGTACCCCGGACTCTCGCTCAATCTCTTTCTGGGTTTGGTGACGCACAAAGATGGGCTTCCCTCGCCATCTGCAAATGTTTCTAGCTAGAACTGGGTGTTTCCTTGAAGTATCGGCACTGACTGCGATTTTTAACACCAGAAGCAGAACCAGAGGGGGAGGAATTGTGTAAGGCGTGTGGGTGCTTCCTGTAAGAGGAACATTCATACCTGGCTTGGCGTTGCTTAAGCTGTCATCTGCCTTGACAGATTTCTTTCTGCGTCAGCTGTTGGAGGCTCCTTACTGTGACTGGGCATGCACCTCCTCCTGCGAGCCTGGCAGACGCTGCCTGACGTTGGCCTCCTGCCCTAATGAGCCGCTGCATGGGCAGCTGGCCTCCTCACCTAAAGCCCCTAAGCGGCTTTTGCTGAAACTGTCCTAAAGCACGGAGCCTTCGAGATGCTTTCTCACTTGCAGAAGACTACTTAACAGCACCCTGAGGTAGTCCCCCTCATGCCAATGTGGTGCTTGCTACGTGTTTAAAGCTGCCACTTTGTCTGCTGTGAGGACTATCAGATCAGCATTCCCTATAAATACTGAGGGTGATACATAGGCCTGGATTAACTGCGTACTGGAGTGACCACCTAATACAGTCGCAGTTTGGACCCTCTAAAGAAAAGCTTGAGAATGCATAAACGTGTCCTGTGAATCTATTAGGTTCTCCCAATTTCTCCCCATGGTCCACTTAGTCACTTTAAACATCAGCACAGCATTCAATAATGAAACGGATGTATTAAAGCTACTGTCTGTGAGTTAAATATACTTAAGGCTATTAAAATACATTAGAAGGCTTCATTCTGGCAGATCGTGCTGAGGTCTGCTATCCTGAGCATAACTCGAAGTAAGCAGCACTGAACTCCGTAAATGGAGTGCTTCTGCACCTGCCTTTCCATCCAGAACGCCTGGGGTCCACTGACTGTTCGCAGTGGTTCCACGTGCCATAGGCAGATTACTGCATTCCAGTCTTTGTTTCATTCTTCCCATACTTTCTTCAGACAAACTTTTTTGGCGATTAAACAATGGCTGTGCCAGCTGCAATACAAAAATGTAATAAAGGCACCCATTCCAGGTAAATTGAGGTAAAGATTTGATGATATAATCGATAATTTTATTATGGAAAGATAGTCTTGCTGAAAAAATAAAGGTTTTTACGAAGTTATATATGCCCTGTTTAATCTTTTGGAGTTTTGAACAACAGCAAATGTGGGTTAAACTCCTGCTGCTTGTGAGGGTCCCATGAAGGGTCTGGCTGGCTGATGTAGGAAGCTGAATGCTGGGCTAGATAGGCCTGATCAGGCATGGTCCTTAATCCCCCTCCCCGCCCCACCACAGAAATACTGCATTTTTAATGGAAAGTGTTCTTGAAGGTTTGGTCTGTTTTATTATTTTCACACATCCTGCCTTAGTAATAACTCCGCCTTAATTAACTGGCTCTCTTCCATCTTCTTTAGAGAGGCAATCACACTATTTAGAAGATGACTAATTAGGGGGAACATATCACTGTATACCGGTGCTCATCAAGAAGCAGTGAATCAGACCTAACAAGTAGGAAACATCTGGTTAATGTTGGAGATCTTCACTCTAAGAACTTCATGTGAGTAATCATGACAGAAGGATTTCATGGGGAAAGGTATTACTCAGCCGTACACTCTTCCTTTAAGTGTCACGCAGTACCTTTGCTTTAATTTGATCTCCAGTTCACTGCAGAAAAGCAAGGCCTCATCTGAGCTAGTGGCTCTGCTGTAGAAACAACTGGGTGCTTTCTACAAAGCACCATGAAGTATCTCCAGAAAGTAGGGCATCTTTGCCTACGGCTGTCGGACAGAGCGCATGTACCGTATGTAACGTATGCAAGAATTCTTTGTTGCAATCCTTCATAGTCAAGAACCCAACACGATGAAACAGTTGAGATGGAGCCAGGAAGCATTCAGAGAAACGGCTGCGATCCTGTGTGCTGTTTTCAGAATAAAGCCCATGCAAAGGGGGATGAATTAATTTGCTTTTTCCTATTTCCCCCGTTTCTTTTCCCTTAGACTCTAAGCTTGCAGGCAGGAGCTTTCTTGTTGATTTTAATAAAGCCACTCCAGGACCCTTGGTTGAAGAGAGAGGCAAAAACTTTCAAGTACATTCACAGAGTCAGGATGGTCCCTTGACCATGAATGCACTCCATGGTCTTAGGTCAGTTTCTCATCCCCAGTATTTGCACTGGGAGGGTGGTGATGCAGTCTCTCTGTGAGGATCACCAGAAAATAATATATGTGATCCTATTTCAACACTCAGAAGTTCTATGTAATCAGTTTATATGATTTCCACGAACAACTATTTGCTTGGTAGATCTCTCTAGGTAGACCCGAAAAGGTTGCATCTCACCGCTTTATTAATGGAAACAGAAACAGGGCATAATTGCTCCTCTTGGGAAGTGCAGAAACGGGAATGGTGTTTCCAAAGATGCTACTGGGTTTTAACAGAAAACTGTGTCCAGCATTTCAGCGTGTTCATTTAGTTATTCCTCCAGATCTGCAGATTTTTTAATTAGCAGATTTTTATATGTACTCAGAAGTAAATCCTGCATTCACTGGGGATTACTTCAGTTGTTAAACTATAGTCTTTGTTCCACTGTTATTAGTTTTATCAAGGTAGCTAACAATAAAATGGAACATTTCATAATAGAATAGACAGCAAAATAATCACAAACCCGCCTTATAGGAGAGCACATGCAGGCCGTGTGTGTGGGAACTGCACTGAATTTCACAGGGTAGAGCCTCATCATCACCAAGTCCCCTCTCCCGCTCTGAAGGTGTTGCTTTCCCAACTCCCCTTAAAACACAGTCTGATTCTGCTTGCCTGAAGTGCGCCAGAGCCTTGGATCCTTGCCTGGGGAGGCTTTTGCATGGCCCTCTGGTGCTATACAGAGAAAGTACTTGAAATCTCTGGTTCATATCTCCTTTTATCACACGCACACACATTTGGCTCAAGCATCCCTTTCCCTTTACAACATGAAAAGAGAGCAGGTGCTGGGGGGAACAGCACCCAAATAGCCTTTTGGGTGGAAGGGATGGAGGGAGCGCACAGGCCTGTACCGGGACGAAGGTTCAAGAGCCACCGTTGATGGAGGAGTAAATTGCTGAGCAGGGAAATGAAAAGCCAGCGTGGGACAGTGGTTAGGAGCATAGAGCTGAGCTTCACTGAAGAGTTAACAGAGACATCAGAAGGCGTCTTGCCCTGGAAGAACAACTCACAGCACCCCACATCCATACCACAATCGTACTCTGGCCTAAGTCCCATTGACTGAATTTGCATGTTATGATAGCCCACTGCACATGACAAGCTGTAGTGTAGTGTGAACCTGGATTCGATTTCTCCAGGGTGGCTTTGATCTTTCTTGAATGATATTTGCTTGTGAAGAGGAGGTGGTGTTCTTCACATCTTTCATGCAAGATCCTACGCCTTCTCCCCACATAGTCCACCTGTTGGGACACATTTTACACTTTTTCCCAGGTCTGCAGGTACAGAAGTGCTTCCCCTTCTTTTGGGAAAGAGGGTTTTGACAGCAAGCTGTCAAAATGCTGGGTCCATTTAAAAAGTGGATTTTGACTTTGGGTGGTGTTTCACTGGGATGTATATAGCCCAAACCCAAAGTGCTATAAATCACACCAGCACCTTTTCATGAGCAAAGAACACACACACCTTTGGTTGATTTTGACAACTGCTAAAATTTGGAGAATTTGAAGCAATGTCCAGGACCGGTACTTGCTTAATTGTAACTAAGACTGCCTTAGTTGCAATTCCCAAACATTTACAATGAAATAGTAAATATAAATCTAATAAATGGTGCCGCCTAGTAAAGCAGTATTACCCACAAACTCACCATAGAACTTCTCCCCCTCCCAAAATAAAGATTCTGCAAAAAGATTTCTATCAAACTTGGGACTCTTTTTATTATTAGAGAAACGGGACTTGGCATAGATTTAAAGTTATCATAAACGGAAAAAGAAGGGTGTGGGGGCTGACCCAGTGGGCTCGATGTTTTTGATGATGGATGTTGTTTGTAGTTTTCTTTTTGTTTTTTTTAGGATTATAATTTCAAATAAAACTTATTTAAAAAAAAGATTCTGCAAAAAGACGTTTAAAGCACAGGCAGCTACACGAGTCAAAAGCTGAATGTGCAAGCGTGAAGAAAGGTCCTGCAGAACTCGAAAGCTTGCACGGTCAGTTGGGGCATTCTAGCTAGTCTCAATCAAGCGGGCGTACTGTTGAACGCCAGCTCCCATCTTCCTCAGCTGGCAAAACCTGTAGTACAATCTCTGGAGGGGCGCAGGTTGCCCCCCTATCCTTAATCCCCGTAATAAAATGCGGGCGCATTGCAAGCAAAACCTCCTCTGGAACTGCGCAAGAACGCAGCGCCGTGCGACGGATCTGGGCGCTCTGGCGTTCTAGGAGCGCTTCTAGAACGAGGCGCAGCTGGTCCGCGAGCGTTACGCCTGCGCGGTGCGGGGACCGAGCGCCTGGAAGGAGGAGGGGTTCGAGGCGAGGGGCGCGCCTGCGCCGTAGCGCCGCCGCTCCACTAGGAACCAGGCCTTGAGCGTTACGCCTGCGCGGTGCGGGGAAGGAGCGCCTGGAAGGAGGAGGGGTTCGAGGCGAGGGCCGCGCCTGCGCGCTGGCGAGAGGCGGAGTCAGAGCCGGGTCTTGAGCGTTACGCCTGCGCGGTGTCGGAGGAGAGACCTTCAGCTTGACGAGGAGGGCCGGGCGGACGGACGGAGGGCGGAGGCGGCCTTGAGGTGCGCGGGCGGGCAGGCGGGCGCGGGCCGGCCCGGGAACGGGCAAGCGGGGAGCTCGCCCCTCCTCCGGGGAGCGCGGGGCGCCGCCGCGCCATCCGCATGCGCGCCCGGGCCGGCCTAGGCGGGCCTCCGTGGGTCGGGGCGCCCGGGGTCCCCTCACATAGTCTCCCCTCATCCGGGCCCGTGCCTGCGGGGCGCGCCCCTCCGGAAGGCTGCCGCCCAGCCCTGCGTCCTGGGGCGCCCGGAGGGGCGTGTGCGCGTGTCGGGGTGCTCGACTCCCGAGCCCCACCGCAGGGCCGCTCCTGGAAGCCCGAGCGCCGGCCGTGGCTAGGCCAGGGCTGCGGAGGCTTGGGTTCACTCCCGGCTGAGCGAGGGAGCGCTCAGGTGACCTTGGGCTGGGGCTGCCCCGTGAGAGGGGGTTTGGGTGGAGGGGCGACCCTGCCCTCATGTGGGGGGGCTGGGGTTCAGACCCCCTGGAGGTCCGGAGGTGACAGGCGGCTGCGCTGCCTGATCTCGCTGGACTGCTGCAGGAATGAACGGAGAGGATGGGGGCCACATGTGCCGCCCGGAGCTTTCTGTGGAATAGAAAGGAATAATTCCCTACACAACTTACTGGGGCCCTGTGACCTCCCCTAGGCAAGGTCCGTTGACGTGCCCAGTCACTCAGCAGACAAACGTCTTTTGCACTGCCTGCTTCTAAAAAGATAAAGCTAAATAAATAAAGGGGTTAGGGAGACATTCGGATACAAAACAGAAATTATAGCCCATTTTGTCAGCAGTAAACTGGTTTACATTGCATAAAATCCAGAGTAATCGGTAGTTGTTGGTTTTTCACAGCACTGGGCTCCTTAGGGCTCAATGGCTTGGATTTTTGGTCAAAGTAATCTTGAGATGGTAATGTTTATATGTGTATTCAGTGCCTCTTCTTGCTTCAATGAATGTGCACTTGCAGACTAGTTTGTAACCATTTCTAAAGAAGATTACAAGATTGGGATGGGATGGGATGGGAGGGTGTAAATCATAGCGCGGGAGGGTCTCACTTTTGTTGGCATGAACTCAAGATAGCACACATGGGCTCCCCTCACTTTTATTGTTGGCGAGGTCATTTGAAGAGTTTTGTGGCTGAGTGGAGATTTGAATCACTTTCCAGCCTAGGTCTGACACATGAGCCCCTAGATCATGCTAGGGACTTAGGCGTATGTGTGGGCAGTTTTACACGTGCCTCTGAAAATCTTGGCAAGTCTAAGCTGTGTTGGTATCTGAAAAGTAATTGTGATGAGTGAATTAGGATATGTACAGAGTGGCTTTTCATTCATCACTAATTAGCTGTGTGGGAGTTGTGGGGAATTAGAAAAATGTTGTGAAGTCAGTGGTTCTGTAGCATTCTGCAGAAGTAGTTGTGGAAACCCAGGTTAGCTCAGCAGCTGAATACCCAATGCCAAGATCATACCATTCTGATCTTTCAGAAGGATGCTGAACTTGGAGTGTGTGACGTTACTGTGCTGACATGGCCTAAGAGGGCCATGGCTTTTCCCCCTCCTAACACCTGTCAGAATCTGTATTAACCACACAGATTAGCTGTCTGTGTTATTGTGTTGGGGGAAGCACATGCCGCTTTTTTTGGTTCTTAGGGCTGTTGAAAATCAGCTGATGTGCTACATTCAGGAGCACCTCACATTCTTGTACAGGAGTTTATGCACACTTTCTGTGTGCATGCATGTGCAATCTAATATACATGGATACATCTTCCCTTCAGTGTAATTTTGGTTGTAACCGTGAAGAAAAGCAACAGAGAACTGCTATTGGGAATGAAAGGGTAGCTTGATTTTACTTTGCTGCTTTGGTTTCCTTTAGAAACCCTAGTTGTTCTTATGCTTGTCTGAGGTGTTAGCTCTGAGGAGCTGGAGAGAGGTGAGTCAGAAACTGTAGGAAAAATTAGGTGTTTCTGGTGAAGTTAATAGGGAAGGGGGTGATGGAGGTCCAAATGCGTCAGGTGAAGCTGAGCTTTCTTTACCCTTGTTATATACTGCAAAGTGGATTTTGTGGCTATCTCAAGGAAGCAGGTTCTTTTGTGTCAAGGATGCATGGAGTACTTTGTGGGTGATTGCCAGTGCTTATTTGAAAGTCTGTTGTATGTAGGGCTGTTACAGAATATAGTTTGCAAGCTCAAGATACGCAGTAGTTTTGGTATTTAGCTACCACACACGTGGTTCTGTGCGTGCTGGCACCAAGGTTGAACTTGGTATGGATTGGGGTCTGCATTTCTGGCACTTGATTGTAGCAGCTTGAATGCCATGGTTGTAATCTGAAGTATAAGAAACCAATCCATGCTGAGTTGAGCGCATGGCATTGGCATGTACAGAAGCAGTTGGGTCCTTGGCAGCTCAGCTGGAAATCAATATGGGGTAGCTGGTTTGTAGGTCTGCATCATGTGGGGCCTAGTGGTCTGATTATTTTAAAAGTCCTGTCTGTTAAAATCACAAACAAAACACTTACGCTCATTAAAAGAGAAGCAGCATTCCAGTTGTGTATAAATTAGGAGCCAGGTGTCTTAGCTGCCAGTCATCCAACATCGTACAGATCAAGAATACTGAATGAGGTAAAGTTATTATTTTTCCTGAAGATATTTACACATCACAATAAGCCAGAATTCTAAGAACAAATTGAGAACAAAGGGGATATGCCTGGTACCTGCTGCCTGATTGCTGTGGCTAAAACATTGGTGTGTGATTTGTTGTTGTGATGTGTGAGCATGGAACCATGGGTTGTCTTTCTCCAAGCAAGCTAGAGTCATAAGCCAAGAACAAACCATCACATATAACTCTCATTTGTCTGGGGAGCAATAAGCCAGAGTTCCTGCTTCTCACATCACCATAGGAAGTCTGCAAGTTTAAGCAGCTCATAGAAGCCAAGTTCTCTCAACCAGCCTGGGTTCTTTAGAATTCTAACTTACAGTGATGTGTGAACATGGCTTGAGTGTTTCTTTCCTGGTTTCTGTTGACAGCATGATATAGGCTCTCATTTCATCTGGAGGAAGTTGCGCTACCCTAATGTAGGAGAGCAAGAACTCGTTCTTACCTAAGGATTGCATTCCCTTGCAGTTAACTTTCCAGGGGCTGCAGGCTGGGGGAGGAATGGCTAAGGGCACCCCTTCCTCTTACACATAAAAGATAATATTCAGCCTTTCCCTGATCCCCTCAAATCCCCTTTGCTGCACTCAGGCTTGAAAAAGCTTCCTGTGATCACTGCCCTCGAGGTCATCATTGGCGGAATTTCATCAAGTGCCACTGCCAAGTGTGATCCTGCACATGGCAGGGGAGAGGGCAGGAATAACTCAGTGAGAATTCCCATGTTCTGGAATGCCCTCAGCAGAGAGACTTAACTTGGCAGCTTTGCATTCTTTTTGGCACAAGGTGAAGATTTTTAAGTTTCCCAAGATTTTGTAGGTTTCTTCTTGGACTTTTAATAGAGTTTGAAATTTTTTTCTGGCTTTCAAAGTTTAAGATGCTTCAATTGATTTCTCTCTGTTGTGCTGTTTCTGTGATGGCATATTTTTCACTGTATTTTTATATATGGCACCCAGAAGGTCTCAGCTATGTGAGCAGCGTGGAAATGCCATAAAGAAATTGCTCGAGTGAGGCAGGGGATAGAAGAAGGGAGATTGGTCATATTTCTAGTCTAGGGTAGTTGAAAGCTTGTATGTGCTTAAAAATTAAATGAGATAAGGAGTGACATATGGGTTCTAGCTGGAAAATGTGTAGGTATAATCCCGTTTTTTATTTACCCAAAAAATCACAGTCAATTAATGTTTATTTACTTATTTATTTGGGATATTTCTAACCCGTCCAATCACTGTGTGTCTCTAGATGGCTTACAAAACAGGTTCAATAAATACAACAATATAAGAGATCATAAATACCCCAACAAAGATAAAACTAATAACCCACAACTGAAATAAAAATAATTAATATCTTTTAAACATTAAAATATTGGGTGAATAAAAAGCTCTTGACCTGATGCCAAAAAACATATAATGATAGTGCCAGGTGGACCTCTCTAGGGAGCACATCTCATAGCTAGGGCGCCACCACAGAGAAAGCCCTCCTCCGGGTATTCTGTCTCCTAATCTCCTTCAAGGAGGGTTTCCGGAGCAGGGCCTCTGCTGCAGATCTTAAGGGGCGGGAGGGCATATAGGGAAAAATGCGTTCCTTTTGGTATCCTGGTCCTAAGCCGTTTAGGGCTTTATAGGTCATAACCAGCACCTTAAATTGGGCCTGGAATTCATTGGGAAGCCAGGAAAGCTGATGATGGACTGGAGTTATATGAGAGTAATGACTGGTCCCCGACAGCAACCTGGCAGCTCTATTTTGCACCATTTGAAGTATCCGGACCGTTTTCAAGAGCAGCCCCACGTAGAGCTCGTTACAATAGTCCAACTGAAATGTTTCAATGACAAATGATAAATGTGAATCAAATTGATTCAAATGATTCAGTGAATCATCCATGTGCCATATTTAGGTTCGGGTGGGGCATATACTTTCCAGACTTACGAGTACACAGTTTGCAAGGAGTGGTCACTGCAAGAACATGCATTTAGTACACCCCGATATGCTGGTTCTTTTCTGCAAGGGAATTCATGTTACAGAAAGCAATTAGTTGTAATTGATTATTGATAGCAAGGATGGGTATATTTTCAAGTGGAGGCTGAAATCCTTTGCCAAGTTACTGAGGAATAAATCCCATTGAATTTGCAAAGAATCAGACTGATAGAAAAGTTAGTAGACATGTTTCCTTTTCATAGAATGCAGACCCAGATTATTATCTCACTCTTCTTCCAGGATGCTATTATACACAGTCCCCTTTCCTATTATCCTTACAAAACCCCTTTGAATTAGAGTTAAATTGAGAGATGGAGACTGACGCAAAGTTGCCTGAAAGTTTTGCTGCTGAATGACAATTTACAACTGGGTCACCCTGGTCTTAAACCTAATATTGTGTCCACTAGGTGATACTGGCATTGATTCGTATAATTTCTTTTTGTTTGAACCATGTTCTAATCACACATTTAAGAAATTAAATTTGGAATCAGTGGAACACAAGTTGCAAATATTTCAGTATGTACCATAAGAAGTTATTGGATTATATTTTGAATGGAAAACTAGATTTTTCTTAGGTTCTCTACACATGATGGCTTTGATAACTAATGATGCATGCTTTCCCCCCAACCATATTTGGCAGGTGTACATTAAGAGCTAGAGAAGAGTCCTTCTGTAGGTTCAAGTTGAGAAGTAAATGATTTAGGAGCTAAATTGTGAAATAAGAAGCCTGCAACCATGTTCGGCTGTTCTTCCAGAGCCCCAGGTATATAGTATTCTTACAGTAGTTCAGCTATTAAAGGTAATTTATTGAAAAGGTGGTGTATTGCGATGAAACTTAGTGTTCACAGGCAGAGAAGGTAGGTTGTCTAGTAACAAACAACACACAACACACAATACCCTGTGTGTCAGATTTGCAAAGCAAGTTCTGTGTTGCTTTGCACTGTTCTGTCTTTTGAGGTGTGGTCCTGGAAGCTGCATATGGTAAGAATAGATTTCTTGTTGAGCAAAGTTCAAAAGGATCCACGCTAGGCTTAGGGGGAAATGACCCTATGCTAGCAAGGTAGCTACTGTGCTCTTCTGTTTCACTGTAACACCAAAGAGACCAGAATTCCATATTGCAGATTCAATAGCCACTTTGGTTGTTATTATTTTACCACTGAACCTATAACTTAAAACTGAGAGGCTTCCTGTGTCCAGAGTTAAGAATAAAGCAAAAAAGCTACTTTGCCATGAAGGAAGGCAATAGAGCACCACTACTGAAGCTGAGCTTTGCTGAAATTTCCTGTGGGGGAAGAGCCAGAGTAAAAGTCATCAAAGGCTTTTATGGTGGAAGGCCAGGCCTTGGGTGGGGTGGCATTTGTGTCACAAAGGAGCTATTATTCTGCTCTTTCCAGAACCATGCACAAGTGGAATGGTATAATATATTGCTAGTTGATCTATTGGATTTAGTCTCCCGGCATATTTGGGACAAGTTTTTTACCCCTCATGCAATCCTGGAAATACGACGGAACATTGAAGAATAGAACATTGAAGTCTTTATCATATGTTACCTGTAAGATATTTGCAAGTTGAGGAAATGATGTTTGTATCTATGAAGGCATGCCTGAGTTAGTTCCAGATCTGTACTGTAATCTTACTTCTTCCAGACCCCATGGCTATCCCACCAACCTATTGTGACCTGGGGAAATCTGCCAGGGATATATTCAACATAGGATATGGTAAGTACCCTAAAGGCTACCATCTAACTCAGTGCTGAGCTTGAGCCCTCAGGGAAGGGCTCCTGTAGAATCCCAGAACGCTTTCCCAAAGACAGAAGCGCTCCTGGGCTGCGCTTAGCAGTTGCCCTCAGGCAGCCTTGCAGTGGCTTCCAGTGTCGTGTCTAGGATTAGCCTGTCAGTCATTTGAGGTGTTCCTATCATTTCATGTGTTTTCTCCCATCTTGTTCACTCCACTGATTGACGAAGCTCTCAGGTGCCTGCTTTGGTATCTTGCTTACTCTATTTAAAACATTTATATCCTCCTCCTGCTGAGCCCCCAAACAAAATTAGCTAATTAGCAGGAACAAGACACACCACCCCTCAAATGATGAAGTGAATAAAACTCTGGCTCTGTTGCTCCCTCACTTGCATTCCAGTCTACCGTTGTTCATGATTGTGTCTGTGTTCACTAGACTTTTCCTGTTACCTCCCAGGCTGGAGGATGGAAGGCATGTTTTAAAATTCCTCACACAGTTCCAGGTTTTAAAAACTGGCTGGGGATATTCTTTTGTTCCTCCCTGGCCGTTATCAACAGGGCTCCATGAGCCCATTTGTCTTGTAGTGAACATGAGAAATGGGGATTTTTCCTGCAGTGGAACTGCACTTTGGAAGCATTCCAAGTGTTTCTGCAGTGCAGTGTGTCACAGATGCTTGTCCTCCTCGTTTCACGCATGGAAGGAAGGTGAGCTGTCATCCCTGGCTTTACAACGTGGTTTGGAGGTTCTTCAGTTCCCTCCATCCTTAGCCTGATGCCAGAGATGAAAAGCCACCCATCCCCTGGATCAGATGAGAAGCCAGGTTCTGACAGTCACACTTTGTGGCCAGTCCAAGTCTGTGGATCTCTGTCACATGATTTCTAGAATTTCCCTTTAAGTTTCTTTGGGCTGCAAAGATAAAAATAAAAATGGGTGTAATCACAAGCCACACCTTTCAGGTAAACACATGCTACTTGATGCATCTTGGGCTTTGTCTTTGGTGTTTTGCCTGTCGTGATGTGAATAAGAAGTGGTGTATTCGTGATTTCAGGGTTTGGAGTGGTCAAGTTAGAGGTGAAGACCAAGTCTTCCAGTGGAGTGGTAAGTAATGCGTACCTCAGATTGGTGCTGCAGTACAGGGGCTTGTATAAAACCAGTAGTAACTCCATAGTGCTGAACTAGTGAACAAATGGACTTTAACTTAATTTCTGCCTTAACCAAAAAACTGGAGAATTCTAGAGGTTGCATCTGCTGATCTGTCCATGCAATGCTAACTTTAGTGGCTCGGTTCCTCTAGTGCTTGATGTCACTGTTAATACAATGTGAAGAAGGCCTTCATCTGATGGCAAAAGATCTATCTACTTGCCCTCTGTATTCAAGATAGCTTTTGGGAGAGGAGAGACATGACTATTTGAATACGTGTAGAGTTACAGGGCTGTGGCTGCCCACACGGGAGTGGCCGCATGGACACGTGGACTGTGAAAGATGCTAATTCTTAACACATCTTTTCCCTTTTCCATGCAACCCCGGTGTTTGGATGTTTATTCAGCTGGTAAGAATGCAGTGTACTTTGTGGTCTCTTGTGTGCTCTTTCTTAGGGTTTGTATCCTTGGACCATGATCCAGTGCTATTCCTAATCCATTGTACACTTTAAAGGTTCAAAGTCTTGTAAAGGAATTTAAGGCAAGGCATGGCACTGCAGTGCCTCTCTTAACTTTTGTCCTTCCCCAAGGTGTTTGTTTCTTGGCCTGCGCTGCTGCTGCTGCTTTTTCAGCACTCCATTTGCTGTATAAATATAGTTCTTCAAATGGTCACGTTCTCACAGTGTCACTACATAACTTGGATTTTTGGGGGGTTTTGTGTTTTTACTGTCGTATTCCCAAACCAATTTGCTAGCTTTCTTTTTCTGCTGAGGCTAAAGTTTGACAAGGTGCTTTGGCTTTCAGTTTTCATCTATCATATCTCAAGATTGCATTGAGATAAAATGCCTTCCCACTAGAAATGCAAGCTGGAAACTGGCTTAGACTAGGAAAGCTTGTTGTATGGGATTTAAGTAAGGATGCAGTCACTCCTCTGCCCATGACAGTCGTGAGATGAATAGTAGCACATGTGGTGTGTGCTGCTGATTCCCCCAGCCAAAAGTAGATCTTGCTCTAGCTGCCAGGAAAACCTCCCTTCCTCTTAATCTGGTCATATGATAGCAAGAGTCTTTTTCTTCTCCCTGCCTTGCAAAGAAGGAAAGTCAAGGAATATCTTCCTCTGGTACCATAACTGGTCACAATTTCCATCATCATGTTTGTTTCTTGTTGCTTATGCTTTTTATTTGCTAAACCATAAGCTTTTACCTGGTACTCATGTACCATGCATTGTACAGCACCTAAGTCAACATCTCATTTAGACCCTACAATATAATTGATGTACTAAAGTGACTTGGAAAGATAGTCCGTGCCCACTAACTTGCAATGTAACTTCAGGTTAGAAGTCACCTCAGTTGGCTAGCAGTCATGCTCATAAGCAGCCAGTTGCTTTCTTACCGTGGCAATATAAAATTGCCTCCAGGTGGCCACAAAGTCAGGTGGTGTCTGTCCATCTCCTTAGTTCTAAATTTCCAGCACAGGCATATTGAAGGCTGGCAGGCTAGAATGGATTTTTGTGGGCTAGCAACTTTTGTGGGCCGATCTACAAGATTAAACAATAACACTGCAGACTTTGAAATCCAGTGATTATAAACTGCACTGCCAGTAGAGCTAAGCTTTCATGCATTGCTAGAATTTCATATTCAGATTCAGAACATTTGCATTTTAACTCTCATCTTCTGTGTCCGAAGGAATTTACCACCACTGGCTCCTCCAGCGCAGACACAGGGAAAACCACAGGCAGCCTAGAGACCAAATACAAATTCAAAGACTATGGACTTACCTTCAGCCAAAAATGGAACACTGACAACACCTTGGGGACAGAGCTGACCATGGAGGATAAGGTGAGAGGGGGTAGAAGGATTCCTTCATTGCACCATGTGTGCTGAAAGAGGTCAAGAGGCAGGTGATTTCTGCTGGGAGGGGAAGAAACACGAGCAGTGAAATGCAAATAACAGAACTGCCATTTACACACTGAAAACCTTGCAGAGCAAAGTAGAAAGCCACGGAAGCATCGGTACTTCTGTGGGTTTGCCTGGGCTGGCGTGTCACACAGCTGGGCAGCTGTTGTCCTCTGCTTGTTCCCCCATATGGTGGGGATTTCTGCCAGATGTGAGGCCACTTCGTGACACGACTACAATAGGGAAGTCCAAGATTTTCTTTTTTTCTTTTCAATTTAGTTCAATGGCTTCTGAAAAATAGCCTTTGAATTTGTGGAACTAGACAGAAATTACAGGCATAATTTATGGACTACTTAAGTTTGAATTTATGGACATAGAAACAGCAGTGCTTGGATTGCTGATTATATGTTTGAAACAAAGTATGCGTATCCTCTTAGGCAGTATGCAGTGCAGAAACATTTTTTCCCCAGGGGATACTGATTAGAGGCAGCAGCAGGGATTATGCCTTGTGTTGAAAAACTACAAAAATTTTAAAAAGTTTGTTCTCTAGAACCTCTTGCGTGTTTTTGTTCCACTGGTCTGTGCTGGAACTATCATTGTACAAGAACCAGAAATGCTAAGTAGAAACGATTAATCTAGAAAGAAGATGTGGCTAGTTAGTTTGCTCTTTTTTTGAGAGAGAGAGAACCATTATAGCATTTTCTTTTTTCTACTTCAGTTGGCTGAGGGACTGAAGATGACCCTTGAAACCATGTTTGTACCAAACACAGGGTAAGTGTGCACCTATCCCAAGAGCGGGCACACCTTTGTTTTATGCATTTCACTTTGGATGCAGTGAGCTCTTCTAAGGTCACTAGACCACACAGGTGGTTACTTTCACCATTTGTTTGAGGTTATCTTTAAATGACTGTGTTAAAATGTTGGCGCAGACTGTCTCTTTTCATAGCAACAGGTAGACCTTAAGTCTATCCCTAAAGGTAAAGTGTAACAGAATATATTGGCAGTGAAATAACTCTGTGTGCTTTTGTCTTCTGTAATCCTAAGCGATCGACTCCAGTTACTTAATCAACTCTTTCTCCCCCTCCCCAGGAAGAAGAGTGGGAAGTTGAAGACATCTTATAAACGAGAATATCTAAACATAGGTTGTAATGTTGACATTGACCTCTCCGGACCAACCATCCATGGCTGGGCTGTGTTGGGCTACGAGGGTTGGCTTGCTGGCTACCAGATGGCTTTTGACACTGCCAAGTCCAAGCTGTCACAGAATAACTTTGCACTGGGTTACAAGGCAGCAGACTTCCAGCTGCATACGAATGTGTAAGTATTGGTTTGGGTCCACGGAAATGGGCTGAAGTGCTGATTTCAGGCTGAAGGAGCCAATAATTATTGATTATTGAGAAGAGGGTTCCTTTAGGGTCCTCAGTCCCTTGGGACTTTATTTGGGAAATAGTGCTACCATCATATTTTTTCATTGGAAAAAATGAAAGGTCCTAGCTTTGAGCTTCACATAACTGGTGAAGGTCCTAGATCTGAGGATTCACAGAAAGTATCTTTAGAGCTGGCAGGTGCATCTTGGCTGACCGGCTGTGGCTCTTTTCCTTCCTGAAGAAGCATTAGGTGCTCCCTGGCCCCATCAGGGTGTGCGCTTGTTCCATAGATATTTCTAGAAATCAATACGTAAGACAATGAATCAGTGAAATCATCATTACAACATTATTAAAAGTTCTTAGAACAATAGTATGTAAGATAGCGAAATAGAATAAAAGAACAAAATGGGGTATGGATACTCACTAAAAATTGGATAAAGGATATGTCTGCATAACATGAAAAGATAGTGCCTGTGCCACGTCTCTCCTAATAACATGAATTTGTGATCTCATCTTAATAACTGATGCAAGAAGTTTTGCCTTTTGTTCTGATCCAGTTTTATTTATGCCAGCCAGCAGATGTGAAGCATAAGGCAATTGGGAATGGGGTTATAGAAGGTCCTAAGATTATTTAAAAAAGCACAATGTGGACCACTGTTCTATAAACATGGGCACAGTCTGAACCCTTAATGGAATTAGGAAAAAAAGCCACACTCGCAACTGTACAATTCAGAGCACAATGCTAACGGTGCACATAGTGTTCCACTTGGTGGAACAGGCCTTCCCCAGTTTATACCTAAAGCAGAGGAGGAGGTGGGGCTTAAGCAGGTAGCACAGGTAGAAGGCAAACAGCTGCAATGCCTGTGGATTCCTCTCTGCAGCCATCCCCCCACTTTGAGTTTTAACTTCCCCTTAGCTTGGAGGGCTCATTGTAGGGGCAAGACAGCCATGCAGCTGGACTGCAGCTAATCCCACTGTTGTCATCTTAAATAGGGGATGCTGGAGGTAGTCAAACGATGGCACGGGGCAGGGCATGATGCAGTATCTTTGCTTGTGCTAAGTATATCCAGGTCTGGCTCATGTCTCTGGGTGGGAGGCCACTTCATTCACCAGGCAAATTGAAGGAACTTCTACCTCTTCCTTTGGGAAAGGCTCATTCCCCCGCCCCCTTCAGTTGCTACTTTATCCAGGCTATAGAGCATGTGGAAAGGGCAAAACATGTGCCTCTGTGTTACTTCTCCCTACTCCAGCTGTTTCATATATCAGCATAAATGTAACTTGTTGGATAGAGTGGAAGAGCATTAGGGCAAGAAGAGAATCTGGGTTCATCTCTGCTGTTCAAAATTGCTATTCGCTCTTCTGGGCCTGGGAGACAGAAGAAATACAGAATTCTTAATGGTCGGAGAAAGACTGGGGAAGCCGCAGGGACAGAAAGAAGTCAGGCATTTGCTGTGGTTGGAAGCGAGGTGGTTTTGCAGGGGCAGTACTGAATCTTTATGTGATATGTTACAAACAGGAATGATGGCACTGAATTTGGTGGCTCAATCTATCAGAAAGTTAATAACAAGGTCGAAACATCTGTAAGTCTTGCCTGGACTGCTGGCAGTAATAACACCCTGTGTGGGATTGCCGCCAAGTACCTGCTGGACGACAAAGCCTCCATTTCGGTAAGCATGTCGCCATCTTCCTGGTGTGCTAGCAATGTGTGCTGGGTGTGGCATCCTGAGCGAGAAACAAACGACCCCAGCCTCTGACCAGCCTCTCGCGCTCCTTCCTCATCCCATGCAATCCAGAGGTGGTGCTTGGCTCCTTTGGGTCACCCAGACCCAGCCATGCATTTAATTCTCTGTGGTTATTTTCATGCTAGGCAGCATCAGAAACCCTGATCTGAAGTTGGCTTGATTGAAACAAGCTATAGTTAATGTTATTCCCAGTATGGCATGACAATACGGTTAATCATAAATGGAGGTGGAGGCTTGCAAACTCTCCAGCTGTAGGTTGAAGCAAGAAGCGCAGGAGGCCAGGAGAAAGCCAGGCTGAAACAGTGGAGCATGATTTCCTGGCATCTCTTGCATGGGTTGGACATGCAGCGCTTTCCCTGTCTTTCTTGCCCTTTGCGTTTGTCCCAGGTTTCTTCAGCTGCTCTTCATGGTAGTGAAGCTCACTGTTGACCTTTGTTTTGTGACCTTACCTGGATCACTTTAGGGCAGAATCCTGTGCAAGTTTAGAAAGAAAAAAGGGCCAGTGCTCACAGGCAGCTATGCTGGCTGGGGCATGTCAAGAACTGCAGGGCCCTTTCTGTGTAGGTTACACCTTTAGCACGTCAGTGATAGGAGTCATGAAATGTGTTTGTGTTCCCTCTACCTGCACCTTCATACTTAATTCCCTACATGAAACAGACCAAGGGTGACACAGGAGAAAGGCTTGAAACCAGCTTTCTCCCTGTTCTTACGTAGTTTTCAAAGTGCAAGGATTTTGTTCTGTTGGGAGAATGTTCAGTCATGAGTCGGCACCCTGAGTGGTGTGTGACAACCAGGAGCATGTCAGCCCCCTCTTTGAGAACTAGGCCTTTCTGGTTTGGACATGTTTTTTCACTTTGAAATAAACAGTAGCACCATGAACTTGGTTTAGTATTCAGACTCTTGTATTGTTTCAAGATTTGGTTATTTCCCTTTCATGTAACATGCAAGGGATGAATTTTATTGTCTTAATATTTAAGGGTTAGGGTCCCTTTGCTTTGGGCAGCATTAACTCACCCAAGACCACTTACAGTGTTTAAAGATATGTCTTGCCAACTCTTCAAGAAAGACAGCCCCAAGCACTTTTCCAGGAAAGGAAGTAAGAACCTGTGTATCATTTATATATTTCTCTTAAAATTTCTGTCTAGGCCAAAGTTAATAATGCCTGCCTCATTGGACTTGGCTACACTCAGACTCTACGACCTGGTATGTAAACTGTCAGATGTACTGATTTCACAGTATTGCCAGTTTTGATTGCATGTGAGCTGCAGTACAGAGTAGATGGATAAAAGGGAACAGTTTGGATACACTGAAAACTTTTCCAGTAAGTGAATTTAGGAGAAACACACATTTTTATGAAGTTTATGGTATTTTTGTATTCAGTCCAGAATTACAGTTTGCTGTTATATAAAAAGTTCCTAGTCCTTATGACTAAGACAAGCTTGCATGAGTATGGGCTGTTGCTCCTGAAATCTCAGAATGTTGCAGTGGGATTTCTTGTAAGTCAGGAACCCTGCAGGGAAGAGTCCAGACTACCGCACTTGGCCAGTGATCGTGCCAGGGAACTTCCTGCCATGGGGAGAATGAAGAGAAGCTAGTGTAGGGTAGCCAGAGTATGTCTGGAGGAACAGCTCACCTGAAACTCCTCAGCAGATGGGCAGCATTACCAAAAATGCCCTGCCTTGTAATTGAGGCCTGGCATTCTCTGCCTTCAGCTCTCTCAGCACTCTCTGACTCTGCTGCCTAGCAATCTTTTCTGTGTTGCGGCGTTCTCTTACAGAAGACCCTGTGTTTTGCCAGGTGTGAAGCTGAATCTCTCGACTCTGATTGATGGCAAGAACTTCAGCACCGGTGGCCATAAAATTGGGCTAGGATTTGAGTTGGAAGCTTAATGTAGGTTCTGATGAAGTGTAAATCTTTAACTGGAAGATGAAGGAGAAAACAAACCCCACATGTTCTGGCCTTAAACTCTTCTGTGACACTTCAAAAAGCGTGAACTTGATATTCTTCCAAAGAATTGTTGTAACCCCAAACATGGAAGTCTGGAGAGTGCAAACCATGAAGGGCAATACTTGAAGGCATGCATGGAAGTTGTATTGGTTGTGCTACATTTCAATTCAGTTCCTCAGTTACTTTTAAATATGTTCCTCAAAAGACAGCATAGCATCTGTTTAACAGAAAGAATCCCCCCCCACCAATCCTTCTGTGTTATACATCACATTCTGCATGTCCTACCCCCTCATGACCTTTTGTAAAACTGGTCTTTGTGCTGTAGTGAAAGCTTTGGTTTTGCATCAAAGTGGAAATAAATCCAATCACATTTGGAGCCTGTTCCTCGTCTGGCTGTTCCTGCCTTGATAGCAGTAAATGTTAGGTGCTGGGGACCAAGTCTGCCAAGTAAGCTGGAGCAGCTGTCCAGAGCATCCCGTGTTGCCACGTTTGCTAGAAACATTGAGCAAATGCAGAACACCAGGCATTTTTCCTGTTTAGTAGATCGAAGGGACCCGGGTAATTGTAAACTCTTCTCACCAGCACTGGGGGCTGGGCTTTGCTAAAACTTTGGGCTATATCCCATCCCATGGAAGGGGCTCCCCCTGCTTTAAATTTTGCTAACCTATCAGAATGGGAAGCACTGTATAGCGTGTTGAGCATGGAAGGTGGGGTGGGGGACTGCAGCATGCAAGCTTTCTGACTTCATTGTGCTCTTGTGTTTCTCTCCCAGCTTCCTGTCTTGTTACACTTGCTGGTGGCTTCTTGGTTCAAATCTTGCGCGTAGACTTCACAACCGCCTCTATTGAACACAGGGCAATTTAGTTGAGAAAAATACGCACAGGATCTCCCAATACACATTGCCATCTTGGGATGGGAATCTAAAGGCCATAAAGGCAGGGTCTAAAATTATCTGGCTTTTCCACTGATTCCAAATATTACTTAAAAAACCTGGGAGTAGGAGGCATTCTTCAAACTCTAGTTAAGTAGTTTTGGATATTTGCCATGCACAGAAGAGAATACACAGTAAATTCAGCTTCACTTTATCCACAGTGGAGGATTGTATCCGAGTGAGTGAAGTTGAACCATCCTTGGTGGCTGTTCCCTTTGCCAGTTGTTGCCTACTCTTTTTTCCTGTCAGCTCTCAAGACACTGTGCATGTCAAGTGTGCCATCTGTTCTCTTCGAAAACCTTGTGTTATGGGGAAAAAGGGCTGTAGCGTGATCTCATGGCTCTTATTAAGAAGATCTTGTGACTTTCAGGTTATAGGGAAGATGGATTTAGTAGTCTTTGCACTGATAAGGCAGAAAGAGCTTGTTAGGTCAATATTTATAGTGTATACAAATAAAAACTTCCAGGGCTTGCTCTTGTTTTGGAGCTTCTTGGTCAAAGACAGGGAGGTCTCAGATGGGTTTCTTGTGCACTGCTGATACCGAGACTGCAATGACATTCTATAATTTGATGGAAGACAAAATTACTGAGTTCAGAGGATATCCATCTGTGATTTTTTTAAGTCGTTTTGCAAAGAAATTGTTCATCTTAAAAAAGGTTAAACAACATAACCAAGATAGTATCTGTATCTTAGGCTTGGAAAGTGGCCAATTATAACACTGATTTTTAAAAGGGAATCCAGGAAATTACAGGCCAGTCACCTTAACATCTCTTCCAGGTAAATTGGTGGAAAATATTACTAAATACAGATTAAGCAGCATGGCTTTTACAAAGATAAGTCCTGTTTCACCAACTCTTGAGTGTCAGCCAAAATGAATGAGGGGATTTGATCGATAGTTTACTTGAACTTCCTAAAGGCTTTTGTCAAAATTCTTCACTTGAGGAAACTCAGCAAACATGGGATGAAAAGTTGTCTTAAGGATCAGTAATTGGCAAAAAAGAAAAGCAATTGGAGTGGGAATAAATGTTCAGGACTTGTAGGATATAAACAGAGCTCCCACCCCAAGGGTCTGTATTGGAGCCATCATCTGAGTGGACAACAAGGCTGTTTGTTGGTGACACCAAATTATTTAGGGCTAGTTGAAGCCAAAAGGGAATAGATTTTGCCTAATGAAATGGGTATTAAAATTGCATGTATGACTCAGTAATGACTCTCACTGGGGCAAAAATCCACAAATTGCATACATAGACGGAATGTGACTAGGCAGCGCCTAAGCGGCAAAGGAATCTTGGCGTTATGGTGGATTGTTTGATCATGTTACCCCAACACTGCATCACTACAAATTCTGTCTGAGTGGACTGGTTTAAACTGCCAATATGATTATGGCCCGGTACGAATCAACGAGATGACCCATGTGTACTGTTACAGTCACCATGCGTGAGAAAAGTATAGAAAGGGGCAAACAAAAGGCTACTGTGTTTGATGCTGTCTAGCTCAATGTTAAGAGTGGAGGTGTATGAAGTTAGGAACGGTACGGTGAATGTGGGTAAGGAGAGGGTTAGGTTCAGGTTACTTACTTACATCCAATGAAAAGTAAGTGGTGGAAGCTTCAGGATAGATAAAAGGAATTTCCACCCAGAGCACCCCATTAACTATAGAATTGATTATTGCAAGATGTAAATGACTTTATAAAAAAGGTTTGACAAATTCATGAAAGGGAAGGCTAGTGCACTACAATGTCTGAAGGCTGTATTGTCCCAGTGTTTGAAGCTGGCCTTATATAGTCACTTGCACGGTAGAAGCCTGCAATTAAACTCAAGAGTAAAACAGCGCCTAGGTGGCAAAGTCACACTCAAAGCAGTACAGAAAAACACATTTTATATACAGATAATTCATAAGTCAAATACACCAGAGGCTTCTCATCCAGAAAGCAGCTGTAGTAATAACTAGATCACCCGCAAAGTTAACTTCATTAACTTTTAAGCTGCTTAACGAAAGCCTTTTTTCTCTACATCTGGGTTTGCTCTAGATTCTCTCTCTCTCCCACTTGAAGTTTCAACCAACTCCAGTCCAAAGCCTAAAAACAAAACAGAACCTCATTTTGATACATTATTCACAAACTGCCACTTTCCCTCCCAAAATATAGTTCCTCTATGGTTTTGCTGCCCAAGGGGTTTTCAAGTCAGGAAAATCAACCCTGACTGTTCTTTAGAAGGTCAGATACTGGAAAAGAAACTCAAATACATTGGCTACCTAGTGAGAAGGAAGGACTCACTGGAGAAGACCCTGGTGCTGGGAACGATTGAAGGCGAAAGGAGAAGGGGATGGCAGAGGATGAGGTGGCTGGATGGAGTCACTGGGGCGGTGGGGGTGGGCAGACTCGGGGATGGTGGAGGACAAGAGAGCCTGGAGGAATGTTGTCCAAGGGGTTGTGATACATGACTTTGTGACTGAACAGAACAGAATGTGGCTTCGTTAAAATAAACTGCACATCCTCTGTGTCCGTGTGCTTCTGTCCCCAAAAGTTGCTAGCTTTCTCTGTCTTTTCAAAAGTACTAAAGATGGCTAGCAGCTTGGAAACAGGTTAGTGCTTCATTTTTCCCCAGTACCCCAACCCTTTACAGCAGGGATCCAAAAAGCCCCTCCCCAGAGTCCCCAGACTCTACCAAAATAGGGGGAGGGCAACATAACCCCAGGAAACAAAAGCAACCACAGAGAAAGTCACATCCACTAAATGGTTTACAAAATGGTAAACTGCATGCATCTCGAGTACAAGTAGTCCTGACCATGCATTTTGGGCGTGTTTCTTTTATAATTAATGCTCGTTGTTTTAAAAAATGGGGAAGAATGAGATGATACATGGTGCAGAACAGGCAGGAGACATTATTGAACAATAACTGCTCCTTTGCATATTTTTGGGCCACGGTAACTACCAACGAAACCCCTTTTCTAGCTCTGGATGTGCCCCCATCTTTTATCCCTCCTTCAGTCAGTCACTCATGGACCCCAGCTTGAAAAGGTACTGTCTCCCTGCACCCCCCACGCCCCGCAGCTTTGTATCACAAAATGAGGCGCTACCATAAAGCTGTGCTCTTGATCCTTCATCGTGTCAAGCATCACATTCTCCAGCTGACTGCAGAGGCTCTGAGATTCAGACAGCAGCTCATCACTAAGAGACAAGTCACAGAAGACTGAATGAAAAGAGCATCTCACAAGAAAAACAAAACAAAATGCACTTGCTAGTAACTGTTCCTTTGTGTCTGCACTCAAAGTGTCACTTTGGTTCTCATAACAGGCTTACTCAAACCTGGGGCAAAAATCAGATTTTTTCCCTTTGTACAATGTCGCAAGCTGCTGTTCTAGTGTTGAGGAAAATTAGAAGTCCTGTGGCTGAAACGGTGCTCTTCAAGGCAAGTAAATGTAATGCTTTGTCCAGATATAATTTAAACCTGAGCGTTGTTTTTGCTAGAACAATGCACTCCAGCTCCATATGAGGACAGGTAGGAAAAGGTAATGCCACCAAATATTGCCACAAAAAAACCCCAGTGCAGAATTTCTTACCTGCTGTGAGAAAAAGTACAAGCATTGTCCTGGGTGATACTGTTTGGCTCTGGCCTCTTGGCGGAGCAGCAGCGCAGCGGAGGCACCGGCAGGGAGAGAGGCTGAGCGGCCAGGGGGCTGGCGAGGCGAGTCAAGGGAGGAGCTGGGCGGGCAGCAGAGGGCCAGGAGCAGCGGAGAGGAAGGGGGCGGGGCCGGGGAGGCTAGAGCGGCCAGGAGGGCGCGGGCAGGCGGGGCCTCGGCCCTGGGCAGCGGCCCGGGCTGCCGGAGACTCCCTTCCCTGGGACCCAGGGGTTGGATGGGTTGTTTTGTTTGCTGTGCTGTGCTGTGCTTCCGATTTAAATTTAAGTGTATCTTCTCCTTGTGTGTGCGCGAGTGGCTTTTCGTCTGGGACAGCTGGGCGAGTGCGGGGAACTGCAGAGCTAACAAGGCAGGGGACCAAGGTCGGGTCTCGGAAGGGATCCCGATGGCAGGCCAGGAGGTGGCCTTGGCGGGAGCCACGGGTGTTGCGGTCCGCTGCGAGAGCCGCGACGTGTTCGCCCTTCTCCCCCAGGAGAGAGGCAGGGATACACTTGCCCTCGGTGCAAGACGGTGGCCCTGCTCGAAGCGGAGGTGAGGGGCCTGAGGGCCGAGAGAGCTCTCCAGGCCCCCCCGGAGCAGCCCCCCCTGGACGGAGGGTGGAGGGAGGGGCCACGGGAGGAGCAGCCCCAGAGACATGGAGGCATGTCACCCACAGGAGGAGGAGGCCAGCACGGCCTGTCCGCCTCCTGGCACCAGTCTGGAGCTGGGAAACAGGTTCTCTCCACGTGGGGAGGCTGGGGCTGAGGAGGCCTCGGGGGACCAGCAGGACCCCCAGCCTGGGACGTCAGGCGGCGAGGGGGCCGCTGCGGGAGAGGCGAGGGCCGGGGCACGGCCGCCCACCAGCACCGGGAAGGCACGGCAGCGGGTGCTTGTTGTTGGGGACTCCCTGCTGAGGGGCACTGAGCCGGCGGTGTGCCGCCCCGACCTGGAGACAAGGGAGGTCTGCTGCCTGCCGGGCGCACGCATCCGGCATGTGACAGACAGAGTGGAGCGTCTCATTCGCTCCGGGGGTCACCAGCCGCTCCTGGTGATCCATGTGGGCACAAAAGATGTGGCCAGGCAGGATGTGGTTGGGACCACCAGGGACTTTGAGGCCTTGGGGAAGAAACTCAGGGAGCTGAAGGCCCAAGTGGCCTTCTCGTCAATCTTACCTGTCCGGGGATTTGGGCCAGGCAGGGACAGGAGGGCCTCCAAGGTGAACGACTGGCTTAGGGTGTGATGCCAGAAGGAACGCTTCGGGTTCCTCGACCACGGCACTCGTTTTCTTGCCAATGGACTTCTGGCACGGGACGGGTTACACCTCATGAGGATGGGGAAAAGGTCCTTTGGAGATGCTCTAGCAAGCTTCGTCCCGAAGACCTTAAACTGAGCCGGGGCACGTGGGTTCAGGCCCCCCAGGAACGTGTCTGCACTGGACAAGTGTGGGGAGAGGATCAGGGCTCTGGGAGCAGGGTTTTAGAGGTACTGCAGGGACTGACAGGACTCCTTCTGAGAGGGGCCAGGTATTAGGGAGGATGGGAGGAAGGAGGAGGCTGGGAACTCCAAGGAAAGGAAGCAGTGGGAAGGAGTTGAGGTGCATGTACACCAATGCTAGGAGCATGGGTAATAAGCAGGAAGAGCTTGAAGCTCTCCTGGGAATAGGAGCGTATGATCTGGTGGGAATCACAGAAACTTGGTGGGATGAAAGGCAAGTCTGGAATGTGAACATAGAAGGGTATCACCTTTTTAGAAAGGACAGGAAGGGAAAGAGAGGTGGGGGCTTGGCTTTATATGTCAGGGAAGGGATAGGATGCAGTGAGATAGAATGCAGCACAGATGGGGATTCGGTAGAGGCAGTCTGGGTGAAACTTAGGGGTCTTGACAGGGAAAGGGACCTGACAGTGGGGGTATGTTATAGCCCTCCAGGTCAACTTGAGACCCTGGATGATGTCCTGACAGGCCAGATTCTAAGGATATCTCGGGGGAGAGACACAGTAATTATGGGAGATTTCAATCTCCTGGATATTACTTGGGAGACTCACTCGGCGGTGACAGCCAGGTCACATCGCTTCCTAGAAGCTATTGAGGGAGTGTTTTTCACACAGAGGGTCCGAGAGGTGCCGAGGGGGGGAAACATCCTTGACCTGGTCTTGACCAATAGGGAGGAGCTGGTAGATGAAGTACAGATTAGGGGAGCCCTGGATGCGAGTGATCACTCCATCCTTTGGTTTGAGATCAGGGGACTGCGAACGGGCAGCAGGTCGAGCACTAGAAGCTGGGACTTCAAGAGGGCCAACTTTGGCCAACTGAAGGCCAGACTGGGGAAAGTCTCCTGGGATAGGTTACGGGAAGGTAAGCGGGTTGAGGAGGGGTGGATAGCACTCAAAAGGGAGGTTTTGGAGACGCAAGCCTTGACGATACCTCTAGTCAGTAAGGTGGGGAGGCGGAGGAGAGTGCCGCCATGGATGCAAAAGGAGCTGGTTAGAGGGATTAGACGAAAGAGGAACCTCCGTAGGAAATGGATACCAGGAGAAATAGACAAAAGGGTATACTGGGAGGAGGAGGCCCGTTGCAGAAGGATTCTTCGCAAGGCTAAGGCTGATTACGAGCTGAGACTTGCCAAGAATATCAAGAGCAATAAAAAGGGCTTCTTTCAGCATGTAAATAGGAAGAGGAAGGGGAGACAAGTGGTGGGACCACTAAATAAGCAGGAAGGAGATCCAGTGACTGATATGAGGGAACAGGCACAGATGCTAAATGACTATTTTGCCTCTGTGTTCTCCCCAAAGCAGGACGGGGGAGATCCGCATAGGAGATTAGATGAGGCTGGGGACTTAGGGGCACTGATTAGAGTCACCCCCCCTTGAAGTTGAGGGGCTCCTCAGGGCATTGGACATTACAAAGGCACCAGGCCCTGACGGGTTACACCCGAGAGTACTTAGAGAGTTGGCAGGGGTTCTCTCATGCCCGCTGGCCTCCATTTTTGAGACCTCGTGGAGAATGGGTGAAGTTCCAGAGGACTGGAGGGTGGCATCAGTGGTCCCAATTTTCAAAAAGGGTAGTAGAAAAGACATGGGGAATTATAGACCGGTTAGCCTTACGTCCATTGTAGGAAAAACAATGGAAAGGCTCATAATAGAGAGAGATCTAGTGATGCTAGATAGGGAAGGGAGGCTGGCAGCCACACAACACGGCTTCCGCAAAAACAGGTCCTGCCAGACAAACCTTGTGGAATTCTATGACAAGGTTTCGCGATGGCTAGATGGAGGGGATGCAGTGGATGTGGTATACCTGGATTTCAGCAAGGCCTTTGACAAAGTGCCCCATGATATCCTGGTGGAGAAACTGAGGAGTTTTGGGATACACCAAAGCACTGTCCGGTGGATTAGGGCATGGTTGACTGACCAAAAGCAGAAGGTAACCTTTAACGGGGAATCATCGGGATGGCAGCCAGTGATAAACGGGGTCCCCCAGGGCTCTGTCCTGGGGCCAATCCTGTTTAATCTTTTAATTAATGACATGGATGAAGGGGTGAACAGTCTGCTGATCAAATTCGCAGACGACACTAAAACTGGAGCAGTGGCCACAACTGAGGAGCAGGTACTCCAGATCCAAAAAGATCTGGACAGACTATGGAAGTGGGCAAGAGACAACAGGATGGCATTCAATGTGGATAAGTGCAAGGTCTTGCACTTGGGGCATAGGAATAGCTGTCATAAGTACAGGTTAGGTGATAAGTGGCTGGAGAGCAGCACTTGTGAAAGGGACCTTGGGGTACTGGTTGACTGCAGACTGAACTTGAGTCAGCAGTGTGATGCGGTGGTCAAGAGGGCGAACACCACCCTTGGTGCATAGTCAGAAGTGTGGCTTCTAGATCAAGAGAGGTATTACTACCACTCTACACGACTCAAGTGCGCCCGCAACTGAAGTATTGTGCTCAGTTTTGGGCCCCTCATTACAGAAAGGATGTAGCCAAGTTAGAGTCAGTGCAGCGTAGGGCCATAAGGTTGGTGGTCGGTTTGCAGGGGATGGGGTATGAGGCGAGACTGAGGGAACTGGGTCTCTGCAGCCTGGAGAAGAGGAGACTCAGAGGGGATCTGTTGGCGACATGCAGGTATGTGAGGGGATGTCACATGGATATGGGTAGAGACCTGTTCTCCCCTGCAGAGGAAGGCAGGACACGCTCCAACGGAGCAAAACTCAGGGAGCCAAGGTTCCATTTGGATGCCAGGAAGCACTTCCGGACAGTCAGGACCCCGACGGTGTGGAATGGGCTTCCCCAGGAGGTGGTGGAGGCCCCATCGGTGTGGGTGTTCAAGGATAGGCTGGACGTCCACATGGTGGGCATGTCGTGAGTGGAGCCGGCTGGTGCCGGAGGTCAGACTAGATGGCCCGGGAGACCCCCTCTGACTCGCTCTGTTTCCTATGTTTCTATGTAACAAATTTGTTTGGGTACATGGCTTACATGTTTTATCTCCTAGCCTACTACATCCAAACAGGCTTTGCTATTCATATGGGTTACGTTTTATGCTGGGTATGTTCTACCCAGCAGAACTTCACTGTGCGCCTAGCGTCCAGTGAGCGCCACCCTTTTTCTTAAGCGGGCTTATTCTTCCTTAGCTTTTTTTCTGGTAAGAAAAACAATGGAAGAAGCTGTGGGGAAACTCAAGAGGAGCTACAAATGGAAGGCAACTTCTGGACCCCTTACAGAAGTAAATGGTAAAACAATAAAAAAACAATAAAACAATAGCGGAAGCACACTAACACCCTGTTACTTCTAAGCTTTAAGAAAAGGTGTTTTCGGGCTGGGCAGGGGCAGCACGTAGTAGGGAAAGGCTTGGCTGGTTTTCATCCAGGCAAACGCTGCAATTTGATCCCGCATCACGTTGATGCGACTGGGCTGCATCAACGGGAGCGTCCCCTCAGGTGGCCGCAAGCTCAACCTGTCCTGCTTGCACCCAAAGCTCAAGCAGCACAAGTCAACATGTGAAATGAAAAGATGCTTCATGCTAAAATTTTGTTTCATTTACTTAATGGATTTTAATGCCCTCACAAGCTGGCAAAATGAAAAGCTGCTGGAATCATGTGCCTGCTTCCTTTTCTTACACAGTGACTTAGTTTCACCTTGCAAAGAGGTTCAAAATAGTAGCTACCCATCACAGGCAGCGAGCCAATAAAAAGGGTTCTATAAGACTAATTTCTGGTATTAGCATGCCTTATTTTCTTGCAACCAACAAGCGAAACTGCTCAGCAACCAGCTTTTAGAGGAGTGTAAACAAACACAGACTTCCTCCAGTTCAGTTGTCTAATTAGACAGAAGTGCAGCTTGCAACTATGCCACTGGATGATTATTCGGCGCATTACCTTTTAATTCCATCGTCTGTTAAGCCAGTGTGTGGGGCTGTGACTTGCGCTGACAGCGGAGCCGGGCTACTGAGGCGTGTGGTGCTCATGCCATCCGGACTACTACTGACAGGCCCCCGTACCTTGCTCTGCCAGAGGGAAAAACAGGTTCAGCTTTCTGCATGGAGAAATAAACTGCTTCAAAGAGAAGTCAGCACCACCTCCCTTCCAGGAAGCGGGCTATGGGATATGTGCATACCAACATGGGACCGGATCTTAAGCGAGGACAGAGCTTGTGCTTCCAATTGCCTAGAATACCTTCAAAGAGAAGACCAGGGATAGGAGACAAGTTTCTTGGCAGAGAGCTCCCTGTATCAGTTGGCAAACTGCAGCAGGTAGCAACCCTGCACCCAAAGAGACTTTTCTCTCCCTTCCGCTTAGTTTGGTAGATTTCAAAAGGCAAGCTGTCATGTCAAGCCAACTGTGCAAGTGAGCCTTGCTCCTGAGAAGGGGATGGTGGAATGTATTCCCCCCCGTTGTGGCAGGAATCCCACCTTATTTGCCCTGGTAGTTCTCGAGTAAGCACATTTTGCACTTTCCCCTGAGGTTTTAAGTGCTTCCTGATCCAGCACTGCTTGTTCGTGGAAAAGGGTGTTTTGACAACTAGCTATCAAAACTTAGGGTCCTGTTGACAAGGCATTTTGACAAGGCAAGGGGTTATTTTGGGCTGGGACGTATGCAGCCTATTTAGAAAGCAACACAGTTAACTTTGCAGTAAATTAGAAGTCGTAGCCAAGCAGAAATGAGTGGACACCGTTCTGTCACTCAGAGACAGCTCTGATGCCGTACACATGCGCTTCCGCTTCACTCACACAGGCAATTTTCAGCAGGTTCCACAGCTCCTTCTGCCGTTTCTCCTGAAGACGGACAACTGTTTGCTCATCTTCGTTCATCAGGGTCATGACCTCATCCATTTTTGGAAACAGCTCCAGAGCCTTCTGCTTGCAGACAACTGTGTTACTGTAAAGAACACTCGCCCTGTCACTTGTCGAGAGCAGCAACAGTGTGGTGGGTGGGAACGGGGGCACCGCTGTTTTCTGCTACCGAACAGGTAACTGTGCAAAACGCTCCAGTGTCCCAGATAACCAGCACGTTATCTTCATTTGCGGCCGGGGGGGGGGGGGGGGGGGGGGGGGGGGAGGAGCCAGGTGTCCTACCTGAGCTGCAAGTAAAGGACACGAACTTTCTTCTCAAAAGTCTGGATTGCTTGTAGGAGCAGCCGCACAACCTCCTGACAGTGTCCGCTAGTCCTCTGATCTGGAGAGAGAGGAATCCACAAATTTAAGCGATACTTTGGGCAGGGGAGAGCACTGAAGACAACGAGCACTGAATGAAATGGACAGCGCTCTCCTTTCTGGCATTGCCTAATGTAACCCATTACACCAGGGGTCCTCAAATGGTTTTAACGGGGCCAGTTGAAAGGTGCCGGCAATGGGCGTGGGCCACCAAGGCGGTGTGGGCAGGGGGAGAGGCGTGCGCAGAGAGGCGCTGGCTTGCCTACAAGGAGATCCTTTTCTCCAAGCGAGTCCAAAATGATCTCCGCATGAGCAAGCCCCCACCTCGCCGCGCGCACGGTGGGTCCAGAAGCTCTATGGAGGGTCAAATAAATGGGCGCGGTAGGCTAGATCCGGCCCGCAGGCTGGACCCATGCATTGCCCCAATCCCTTCATAATTAATATCAGCACTCATCACTGCCTCCGGCACAAATTGGGTAGTCGCTACTCCATATCGGAAGAGCAGCTTCTTCAGCACTGCTCAGTCAAATTGGAGTTTCGGCACAGAGAGGTGAAACTCTCCAAGTGAGGAGATGACAGGCGACACGTCCTCACAGGACAGAGCCTTCCTGCACTCAGTGTTGTGTTACCGTAGCTGTTGACCGGAGGACTGCTTTGCTGCTCGTGCTGCACGGATGCCGCATGAATTAACCTGTATCTCACCGAACTCAAACGTCATGTGAATTCAGGCCAAGGTAGTTCACCCTGGTGCTGCTCTTGGGTTCACACTCTGGTGCAGGTATGAGCAAGCCCATTTCAGAGTCACGGCTGAAGTCGGTTTGAGAAAATCTGGGAGGGATGTAGTCCTTTGGGAGACACTGGAGGCTAGACTAGCGCTCTGGGCTAGAGCTGTGAAGGCAATGAAAGCCCAGCAGCAGCTGAGCGTCTTTTCCTCTGCGCATTCAAGGATGAAGATGATTACACCTTTGTATGTTACTCCACATATTTTATTCCATATTATCTGCTGCTAACGTGGATTCTAAACCAGTTTTGTTTGGGAACTGTGCTGAAGGTTAACTATTCTTTAGCCATTCCTCACTGTGTGGACATAAAGGAGGCCACATGAAGGGCTTGCTAACGTGAACAGTCTCTGGAAGGGCTGCCACACCCTGTTCTGCGTTGCATATAACCGAAGTAAGGCGGTGGAAAAGAAGGGTGGATGATGCACATCCTGAGAGAAGAGCTGCAAGCTGCACGGGTCTCTACGCAGCCCCTTCTCTCCTCCCATGACCTGGTTGGAAACCAAGTATCCTGCGGCAAGATTCCAAGAGTACAAAGTCTTTTACCTCTTGGCTTTTCTCTCAGTTCCCGGTACAAGTCCCTCGCTTGTTCCTCTCTGAAAATGAAACCGATAATGAACTTGAAACATTGGGCATGCAGATCTGAAGCTCCCAGGGTCCAGGAAACTGAATCACAGTCCAAAGGTAGAAATGGGCAGGTTTACATGTGGGATGGGCTTTATTACCCATGCACCCGAGTGGTGAAGGAAAATGCTAGGATAAGACCCAGCTGTTGGCTGCATCCTGAGCCAACTGCCCCCAACCGGCAATATCCTGCTGGCACATTCTCTTGTACTTTGCCCCAAAGCCAAGAAATGAAGGATGCTGCCAGGACGCCCAGCAGTGCAATTGTGGAGCGATGCCCTCTTTTCCCTACCCTTAATAGATGTGTCAAAAAAGATGCAAGCCCTCCCTCTGGAGAACTGAGGGCCATTTCGGAGGGAAGGAAGAGGAGCGGCCCCCTCCGGCTGTCCTATTAACCCCAGCACTGTGCCTTTCTACAAAATATCCAAAGCGAAGAGGCAGGCTGCTGGACTGTGACGAGCGGCCTGGCTCAGGACTCCTTGTATCGCCTTTAGCAAATCACTCAGTTCCGTAAAATGGGAATAAAATTAACTAGTTCATAAGGCAAATCAGAATGTCGATGCTAAAGTAGTTTTACATTTGCATTTATGAATGTGTCAGTCACACTTCCCAACAGTTAAATTCCCTCTCCTTGACATACTTTCTTCCCACAAATTGTGCCTGTTCTCCTCTTCCACTTCCTTCCTGACCATCCCATCAAAAAGCAAAAGCACAACCACAACTGAACTCGGGTGGTCTGAGCTGCACATTTAGGTGCTGCCCCAACCAGGTCAATCAGCCACAAGGGTGCATCTTTTGCCAGACGTGTCAAATGAACTGAGCTGTTGTGGGCGGCCAGAGAGGCTCAGCTCCTGAGTGGCAGAGAAATAAGTGCTGTCCAACGTGTCAGGTAACACAGAAGAAGCGGTCGTGGTTGATGCAGTTTCCACACATCTGGCCGCTTGGCCAGGCAGAGGCCCGATCGACACGCTGGCAAAGGAGGCCGTTTTGTCGCCCCAGGCAGAGTGTGTGATCTCCAGGAAAGGGACACTGCCAGCAGCTACTCACAGCTCGTCCAAGGAGCTCCCTGGCTTCCGGCCCTGTGGGATTCTCTGCAGATCAACAATGTCTGTCTGCAAGGCCATCGTCTTCTTCACCAGCTGCTCCACTTCTTCCTCCTTAGAAACACCGAGGAAGGGGTCAAGAAGGGAGCGAGAGCAGATCAGGAGCTGCCTAGCCATGAGGGAGGGAATGTGCTCCCAGCTTTCAGCCACATTCTTGGTCATTCCCATGCCAGCAATGAAAAAATGGTCTCGGATTCAAGGAGGCCGGCAGGAGCTGGGCCTCGCCTTGCCTTAGGTCCAGCTGCCCAAACATTGCTGTTTCTCCTCCTGCCCCCGAGGGCCTCTCAGCCTGGACTTAGAGCTGATTGCCCAACAAACCAGCCGGGGGAAGACACGCGAAGCTCCTCTACGTGGCCAAAAGAGGCAGCAGAGTAGTAAGATACACAGCCCTGCAGTGCTGGCAAAGTGTCCTGGTGCATTATTGTTGGGATATGAATGCAATGTAATAACCACATGTTTTTTCCTCTTGAGAGAAACCCGAAGTGGCTTACAGAGCTCCATTTTATCCTCACAACAACCACCCTGAGAGTGAGTGACTGGCCCAAAGACACCCAGGGAACTTTCTGGCGCAGTGGGACTAGGACCTGGATCTCCCCGGTCCCCAGTCCAACACCCTAACTGGCACACCCTAGCACACTGTTTTACAGTAGCGCTTATTTGGGAAAAGGCAGTGGAGGAAGCCGTTCTGTTGCCTGTAGCGTCCACACAGGGGAGGGACAGAGGCAAGAAAACACAATGAATTTCCCCCCACCCACGGCTGAAAAATAGGAGGAGCCCTTGTGGGCAGGTTGTTACTGCTGGTATAAAACACTTCAATGGGTAGATTCATGTCAATGGCCCAAATCTTTCTACTTTAAACAATCGTGTGGATTGATCTGTGCAGGTAACAGTGTTGTAGCTACAACACACAGACAGCCACAGCAAATGCTCTCAAAGAACGCTTCCCTTTCAAACAATGTCCACTTGCATATAGATGCGCAGGGACACCTGGGTTTGGGCACTGGTGCTCTCAAGGCTCTGCTCCTTCCTTCCCCACCTCCACACACGTGAAAGCCCACGCCTGGGCTTGCGCTAAATGAACTGCTGCCAGCTCAAGAACCATTCATGAAACTTCCCCGCAGGGACTCCGGAATTGTTCTCATCCCCTTGACCTCTCACAAGGTCTGGCTGGAGAGCAAAGCAGCAGTCCCTCCCCATTCAAGCAACTAAAGCTTCACAGACCGAAACCTACCCTCCCGCAGAGCTCTACCGCCTGCGCCATTTCCTTCCAGGCAAGCAGCAGTTTCCCCGAGGCTGTCGAGAAAGCCAAACAATCATTTTAGCACCACCGAAAGAGCAGCAACAGCCACACGCCGCTTCCCGCGTGAGGGAGACCTGCACCGGAGCCTTCCGAAGGAGCACGGCAGAACCGAGGAACCCCAGGTCTGATGAGAGAACGGAGCAAACTGGGGCAGCGCTGACTCAGCACTTGCTCAACCAACGCAAAGGGCGTCGTGGGGACTCGGTCCATGCACGTGGTGGGCACGTCGTGAGCGGAGCCGGCTGGTGCCGGAGGTCAGACTAGATGGCCCGGGAGACCCTTCTGGCTTGCGCTGTTTCTCCGTTTCAATAACCCGCTTCTAATGGGCTGCATCTGAACTGAGCATTGCCTGAAGGTGCTCTGCTGCCGTCCCCACTGGGAAGACCAAGGTCAAAGAGATCTTGCCCATGTCTCGAGTGCATAAGGGCTGATAATAAGCTTGGGACTCTCTGGGATCTAGGGTTGTCCTTGTGGTTTGATGGAAAGCCCTGAGACACTGTAGCCAGGAAAAAAGTCCTGTGGAAAGTAGGAAGCTGCCTTCATCCTAAGTAGGGCTGTGACACACACGGACACAAAGCTTAATGTTTGGCACAACATGCAGAGATGGTTGTGGTTGGAATCAAGGGGCAGAAATCTACTTTCTTACTCCATCAATTGTAGATAGGAAGATAAAAAATTAGCTCATCGAGCCAAAGCATTGTTTGCTTGTTGGTGGTTGGAATTTTCCTTCACATCACAAAATCCCTAAGCAGAGAGAACGAGCTGTTCACATGAAGAATTCTAGCCTAGCCTTTTTCCTGACACGTGCCGAGAATTTAAACTTGTACGGCCTCTCCTGCACTCTGCAGCAGCCCAGTTCAGTAATTGACAGCAGCATGGTATGAAGCGCGTTGTGTAAACTGAAGACTAAGAAACACACAGTAGGGGAGATGCCATCAGACTTTCCTAGCAACTGATGAAAAGAACAAAACTCACTGATCCCAAATTCAATTTGCTCATTGTACTTCTCCAAATCAATCTGGATGCTGGCTTTGAAGAAGTCCAGCTTCGCTTTGAGCTGATGGGACAGGGAAGCCATGGTGTTTTTCATCTTGGAAAGAGTGCTGTTGTGCCGTAACAGGTTCCTCCTGGGAAGGCGAGGAGAGAGAGAGAGTCACAGAAGCCCGAGCCCTGCCTTGCCTCCGCATTCACCACTCTGGCATCCCGTATCTCTCACCCCTGTGCAATGACACAACATTTTAACCAGTCGGGGTTCAGTTCCACTAGAGCCTGTATTCAGAGTTGTGTACATCCACACAGATGTCAGTACCAAGGGCCAGATTTATACACTTGATAATTACTGCTCCGGGCTTGTTTTTCTCAGTTGCTTTCTCAAGCAAGGCTTTTCGCCACAGGGGCAGCAAGAGTAAGCGGGACAGCAGCGAGACGTTCTCGCATGAAAGATGGCCACTGAGCAGGCCTTCTGGGCAAAGCCCCAGATTTTGCCTCAGGGCAAACATAAACAATGAGGCAAAAGTGCACACTTGCCCAAGTTATAGTCTCCTAGAACAGAATTGTCAGGGTGGGGCAGGTTACAGTGTGCAGAGTTCACACAGGTCTGACACTGATATGGAGGGCAAGCATAGCTGGAAAGCCTGACAGCCCCCCCGCCCCAGGACCCCTGTTCCATCACCTACATGGCTGCACGTTGACCTTTCTGAAGCTGGTTAAAGTCCTCATTCAAACTTCGGATTGCATGCCAGACCTGACCCCATACTTTGCGTAGCTGGAAGTAGGAAAGGTTCTTCTTTGGATCCTGAACTATGGAGCAAAGAGAAGAAATATCAGCAGCAAGAAGAGCAAGGGAACTGTGAAGAAACTGGGAAATCCAGCTTCACAGCTTATGAAACTTAATATGCCTCATACTGGTAGCTGGAGAGTGGGGATTAGTGTCTGTGGGCGTCTTCTGGTTGTCTGAAGCCTGGAGCGGACCCTAGTCTTGCGAATAACTGGACACCACACAGAATTCTCTGTAGAGTCAAATCAAACCTACAGTCCTGAATGTTTCTGCCATCAGCAAGCCAAAATTACTCTCTGATTTGCGTTCTAATTGCTCCTTGCTTGCATTATTAATGAAACTCGCCCTGATTGCGTGATCTGAGGGGTGATCCCTACTCTTGTCACACTGGCCTGGGCCCTGACGGATGCCAAGACAGCTATTCTGTGAATGACACAAGCAATGTCTGCACCTTAAACAGACCACCTCCTCGCCACAGAGCTACCTCTGTTTACATGAACAAGAAACTGTAGTGACACCTGAACTTGCCAGGAGTTGTTGACTCCCTTCAATTCATCCCTGCTTCTTATGTTTCCCACTGAACAAAGGAGAGATTGGAACAATTTGATGGTTTGCTACCCCAGGATAACTGCCCATGAAAACAGCCTCTTGGAACACTGATCTTTGCTTGGTGCTCACAGCCAAAGTGAGTCTGTAGAGTTCAGAGCATTCCCTGACTTTGGTCACAGAAGATCCAACTTTAAATCCCCAAGATTGTTGGTGGCCTTGGGCAAGCTAATCGTTTCAATTAAGCTAAGCCACAGAACTGCTCAAATGATAAGAACCAAACATTTCCTGCAGTGAAGTGCTACAGAGGCAGTCTATGGGCACAATAAGCTGCCTTAATCCCTGCACCCAAAAGGCCTAGAAGATGAAAGTCAGTTTCAAATTCTGAGTATCTAGCTATGTCGACATCTCGGACGGCGTAGTTCCTATCCCCTTTGGGTGCAAGAAGCAGTGACATGTGCAGGGCAGTGGCTGGAGAAATTTCACAAGTCAGAGGAGAGCTCGGCTTTAAAAGAATTGCTATTGGTTGGAGCAATACAATGATTTATACTGCATAGTTTATTGTCCATCCCTGACAAGCAAAAGCAAGCAAGTCATGCCAAGTTATGAGTTATCAATCTCATTTCTATCCTGCCTTTTCCTCCAGAGTTACTACAGCAGCGCACACCATCACTCCTGCCCTCTTTTTATCTCCAGAAAGACGCAGGAAGGTAGGCTACACTGAATGCCGCTGAGGGGTCCACAGTCACCCAGCGTGTTTTCTGGATGAGGGGGGAGTAGAAGCCAAGCTTTTCAAGAGTAGCACCACTAATGTGCTGAATACGTTTATTTTGTATGTATCACAAAAAGCAACATTTCTAGCTGCCAAATTTGAAGCGTTATTTTTAAAGCAAGGAGTGGAAATCATATTTTTAGCTACAAAAGTAGCAAGTACTGCTCCTTGAAGTTTTCCTGGACAAATTTTCTATTGTCCTTTCCACCCCAGCAACACTAAACCCAGATTAAAGTTCTTACGGATCCAGTTAATGCTCTCTGGATGAGGCCGTGGGGAGATCTGAGATTCGTAGGTGACTTTCCGATTGTCAAACAGGAAAAAGAGGCCCGTGTTAGCAGCTGCAGCATCATTCAGCTGCAAGAAAAGGCAAGAGCAGTTTCACTGGAGATTCTCTGGGAAAAGACAAATTATTTGGTTACATCTACATCTACAATCCTGTCCTATCCAAGCAACTCAGGCTGGTCGGCAGCTGTAGAACTTCAATACCCAGTTCAGCAAAGGTGCCACAAGTCCAGAATCCGAACTGAAAAAAGATCTAAGAAATACAGCAATACTTTCAACACGAGACAAAACCAGCAGTGCACTCACTCCAACTCTCTTGGTCTGTCACCGTTTTCTTTCCTTCAAGCAGGTTTTCTGGGCTCTCAAACCACCTCTCAACCAAACCATTTGCCCACATCCTCATTTTCTCTCTTTTAACAAAAAACAAAGCCTTCAAAGGCCTTGCAGATGATGGAAACAGCAGCACGTAGTCGTAATGGCTAGACGTATCTCAACAGCTATCAGAAAATGCTACTGGGTGAGAACATTCCTGGACCCACCTTTATGTCAGCTAGATACTGAATGGCTGGTTTTTCGGGAAATAACGCCAATCCCCCTTCCTGCAGCAGCTCCTGCTCCTGCTCTGGGATGCCGGTATCTGCCTCGATCTTGGCTTTCACGCTCTCTAAGGTCTCTTCTTCGGCCAGCACATACACATGTACAATGCCCGTGACCATGTTTAAGATATGAACCAGCTGCGAAAAGGAAGACACGTAGGGCAGGGAAAAACCTGAGCAGCTGCCAGACGAGGCTGGCCATACCCACCTCCCAGAAACAGGACAAAAGAGCTTTCCCTTAGCGCTACGGATGCTTCTCCCTCCTTCCGGCAGAGGCGCTGCAGGCAGCAGATGGCACGTTTCATGGCTGCTGAATGCTGCCTCCAAGCAACTCAGATTCTGTGATTGCTACTTAAGCTTTACGAGCATTCAGTTGAAGCAATGTATTGTACACACATTTGCACGACAGGATTTGCACTCTCTCGCTCGCTTTAGCAACAAGAAGATGAGGAAGGCCCTTGGACACTCAATTAAGCTACTGTGAAGTTGCTACTATGAACCTTTTCCATGTATTCATAAATCATGCATTTGAATATTTATACATGCAGGGGAGAATGTCACATGTGTAATATTCAGGACATTGATACTAAATGCAGACAAGCAAGCTGCAATTTTTACAAAAAAATAAGAGAAACATGGTTGTTTAGTACTGGTGCAACTATCTGGTGCCTTGAAGAAACGTGAGCAAAGTAGTTGCCAAGTTTCTGCTCTCTTTTCTCTGATGGTGCGGAGAGGAGGGATGCTCCCCGTTCTCAGGAAGCGTGGCTTAGCTCAGGAACAGGAGAGAGCAACTGCATAAAATCAAATCCACAGCAAGAGGCATTGCACTTGGGCTTGAAGCAGGAGCGCTCAAGATGCCCAAGTAACTAGTACGTGAGAGGAACATTTGCCACCTCGGGAAGACCCACGACGAAAGCTTTCCTTGTGCTTGATTGCTGATAATCTGCATCCATACTTCACCACTACATGCATTCAATCAACTGTACATCAACTTTGGCTTCTGTTTCTTCCCAAGCATCCTCAGCGCTGAAGGAAGGCAGGCGCTTTGGTGCTCTGTGGCCCCTGGAGTTGCAACACCCCGTAATCTTTCAAACAGTGACTTGTGCATCCTTGGCCAAACTATTATTTGCATGTCTCTCCCTCTCTCCAGTCCCATTAGGCCTCTGATGTGCCTGTACCCCTGGTGCTCCCGCATTCGCTTGGTCGGAGGTCGTGCTCCGCCACTGCCCCACCCCAGGCGGTCCATTCCTCATCTCCAGAGTCAGCCACCTGGATTCGCTTCCTCTACTCATTCTGTGTCTGTATATTTTGTAGTCTCCTACATCAGCGCATGCGTACACTTCACGCTGTTCCCCACCTTGGAGCACTCATTCTTGCCACAGAGCCCCGACGTTGACGATCTCAATTCACGGCAGTCAATTCCTTGTATTACTGTAAACAGGCAGGTAAGGATTGTCTACACGATGATGCACACAATCGGAATAGGCACACAGACTCTATGGCTACAAAAAGGACTGCTGCAAGTTGTTTCCCACTAGGCGCAACAGGCCAGACCTACTGGAAATGAACAGCAACACTACTGTGCTTGTACGTACTCACTGGCAAAACCCATCAGCTGACAAGTTTTAAAATTTAACCACCCAGATAAGGAAAACCTCTCATTGCTTTTCTTCTGAACAGAACATACTTTTAAATTCAAGATATCATCCAAAGCTTTGAAGCAGCCATTAGGGCCATATTTGGGATCCGTGCCTCTCTGTCGGGGGTGCCATTTGAGCATAAGCTGCAGCCATTTCTCCAGCCTATCAGCCAAAAGACTGTGAACACAAAAAGAAAGAGGAGGGAAACACTGAAGCAGGACTGCTGCAACGGGGGCGGTGAAGCAGGCACCTCTCCTCATCCCTGCTCTGCAGGAAAGGGCGGGTCTGGGAGACAGGGGCCCTTTTCTTCTCTGTTCAGCACAGGCAGCACCCCCACCGCCCAGTTCCCATCCACTGTTCGCCTATGTAGTTATCGTCCCACAAAGGGCTGGGGGGCAACTCCAGCAGGGCTTCTTTCACCCCCCCGGCTGGCTGTCAGAATTGGTACCAGGAGGCAGGGATGGCATTTTTTGGCTAACTCTAGTTTGAAAACGAAAGCGTACATGGACAGTGCTATATTTGAATTATTTAACAACAACATTCTTAATAATTCAGCAGTGAGAGCGTGGGGATGGGAATGGAAAGGGCAGGTGCAGACGCCTGCTCAGCCATGAACCACAATGGATGGGCTCCGGAAAAACTCCGTTTCTCTGCCTGACCGATTTCAAAGACAGAATAACACAAGTGAGAGATTTACAGGTGAAACACCACACCATGCTTGCCAGAGGAAAGGGAGGATCAAATATTAAAAAATGAACGACTCCTTCTTTTGGGATCACCCCTTATCCCAGTGCATATTGACCTAAAAGAAACATCCAAGTTTCTTGAAATCTTTTCTCCAAATCCAGCTTAAACTGCTCACTAAACAGGTAGCCAGCTGTTCCTTGAAGCGCAAGTATTTCCTTACCTGTTCAGGTTATTGGGGTAGGGCAGTTTGCTGGAAAACTTCACTTCTCCAGACAAGTCTTCATAGACAACAATATCCAGCTCACTCTTCTGTTGGACTTTCGTATGCCTATGAAAACCAAGGTAGGGTTCAGAGATCCAGGCATTCTCCTTTTGTCCCGGGAACGGCCATTTGTGTACTGAAGGCTAAGGGACTGGGGGTGGCCAAAGCTCCTGCGGGCCTCTGGCCCACTGTATGATAGCACTGCCCCCAGCCGGCACACGCTCAGGCACGGAGGGAAATGCAACCGAAACATTTGTACCCAAACACCATGTAACGCAAGCCGGAAGAGCAGATGTGCTGCACATCTGTACAGAGCCCCAGCAGATACTCACTCAGCTGTTTGGGACGATGCTAGCAAATCCAAACACCCCAACCATCAACGAGCATTAAGTGCTTATCCCTGCTTTTGGTCAAGACAATTCATCTTAGAATTTACGTTGCAAGAGACACGTCTGAATTCCTCCTCTGCCCCCAAGTTGCTCACCACTGCACTGGTTGCCAGTTGGGCAGAAAAGGTCGGAAGCCTGTTATACATTCAAACGTCAATGTGCCAAAGCTCCAGTAATCCACCGTCACCGTATACTTCTGCTGCTCCAACAGTTCTGGAGCCTAAAACATTGAGAACAAGAGAGATGCTAACAGTGTAATCCTAGACACACCTACGAGTATTAAGAAGCAAACACCCGAGACTTGCTCTCAGGTACGGTGAAATACGTACGATGCACCAGGGGAGGGCAACTCATGCTCCTCCAGATGTTTAGGCCTACAATTGCCATGACTCCAACATTTTTTTCAGTTGCACCCCTCCAGATGTTTTTGCCTCCAAGATGGCCGTGCTTCAGTCACACCCTCAATTTCTTAAGAAAGCTCACTAGAATCCAGTCAGGCCTCTTAAAATGCTCCTCACCCTCCTCCCTCCTACAGGTTTTAAAAACAATTTCTAAAAACCTGTTTATTTTCCATTACTTTATTGTCTAATTGGTTTTAATGCGTTTTATATGGCATGCTGTGTTATTCCTAGTTTCCATTAAACTTGTTGTCTGTTGTAAACTGTCCCGAGACACTAGCACAGGGGAGGTTTATTGAAGCTCTAAGTAAATAAATAAAGGGGATAGGGTTAGGACTTGCAAAAGGAAGCAGCTCTTGGCACAACACAGACATCATTCCTGGGTTGCACTACTGCAAGACCTAGCGATGTCCGCTCACTTAGAGGGATTTTAAAATAGGAGCCTGAGATTTCATGGAGGTGATCCATTCAGGTTGTTAGCCACAGGAACGAAGTGGACCTTCCCTGTACAATATACCTCTGGACCACCGGCTACTGGGGACAAAGAGTACTAGAAGGCCACCGCTTCATCCCTTGCTTGTGAGTGCCCAGAACGATCCGCCTGGTATCTGCTGGAGACAGAAGGCTGGGCCAGGTGGAGTCCTGGCCTTCCCCAGGAAGGCCATATTCAGGCCACCCAGCCAAAATGCTTCCTTGGGCTATCGGGTGCTAGCACTTCAGCATCCTGTTCATTCAGTGCATTCTGAACAAGCTCCCTCCTTTCCTCCCACCCAGCTGAATCCTCCTTGGGCACTCACACTCCCCCTGCCTGGGAGAATTCTTACCAGGTACTGCAGCGTCCCGACGAAGGATGTGCAAAGGCTGCCCTGATCCAGCTCTTTGGCATATCCCAGATCAATGATCTTGTGTATTAGCTGGAAGAAAGCACAGAAGTGACATTTGTGTGAGCATGTTAAGAGTGCTTGAAGAGAGAAAAAGGATGACAGCTTTTGCAAAGTTGCAACTAGCAGCAAAATGCACAGCAGGAACATGGTGTTGGATGGCCAGTACCTAGGGAATTTGGACTGTCACCCAGGACCCAGAGAAGTGTGACAACACATAACGGAACAGCCTGCCATGGGTTATTTAACCCGCAGTGAGCTTGCCATGCACACAAGGTACTGTGGATACCGTTTTGCACGGCCAACCTGTTTGGGAGTTGTCATGTTGTGTGAACCCAAAGAACATGCGTTCTGCAAGGGTCACATAACCTTCATGTAGCCTGAGACTGGTCTAATAACCTGTGATGAGCTGCACTGTCTCATGCGAATCAGGTTACTGTGCTGAGCTCTAGACGGGCATGATCCCTCATCCATCCACTCCCTGCCACCCCATGGGGAACAGACTGAGGTTTGCATAAGCAACAGAAGTTCAGGGAGAGGCCCACAAAATCAGAGCCAGCATTCTAGTGCTGGAAGGCGCTGAGCTCTCTGGCCCAACAGGTCAAAAAGCATACCCCTTTACCTGCTGCAACCTACCACAAAGCTACCACTACAACTCCATCCATGGCTTGCTGCACGCTGGAGCAGATGTGTTACAAAGTACAGCCACAAATGCCAAGTGGCTTGTATAAGAGGATCCAGCAGGGAAGGAAGTTCGATAATGAAACCCCTAGCCATTTTAATTCTTTCTTTCCTGACTAAATACGGCAAATCAGTCAGTCTCAGAGTGCGAGCAAAGCCCGCCCCGCCCCGTCCTCCTAAGCTTCCCATTGGAAGCTCCTTCACCCAGCAGTGACAGTTCCCGAAGCCCCAGGTGGCAAAGCTGAAGGGAGGAACTCCGCTCACCCTCTCTTCCTGCTGCAGGACAATGTTTTCTGGCTTCAAGTCTCTGTGGATGATCCTGTTCTCATGAAGGTATCGGAGAGCGGAGGCTGACATGGAGTGAGACGGAGAAAGCATTATCAGGGAAAAAAAATCTACCCTCACTATTCACAGTTGATAAAGATGGGAGTGTGGCAATGTCAAGCGGGGCAAGGGGCTCAGAGCACTAGAAGCAGGGATCAGAAACAGAGACCCTTGGCAGAGCCCGGCCCAGTTCACGCCAATCCATGTGTTTCCAAGCTACAGGCTCCCATGGCTGAATGGTAGTGAGGAAGCATCCTGCCTCCCGTGCCCTTGTTGTTTCCACTTTCAATTAGCAAATCAGGAATGATCCAGTCCCAGGTTGTTAATTAAAAATGGCAGTGACGAAGGCATGGGAGGCAGCATTCCTGGATTGTTAGCAAAGTGTTCCAACTTGGAGACCCTGTGTTGTTTAGGCATTAAACAATCCATAGTTAACCTAAGGTCCCATAAGATACAGACTACTCCTGGGTTCCAAACATTGCTGTTGTTACGGGTACTTGATAACTAGATCTCCAACTTCCATAAAGATGTAGGGGAATAAACAGCAAAAAACTGATTGATGCTAAAGCACCTGAAAGACTAGCTTAAACTCGGGCATAGCAACAAACTAGCTAGACATGGGCTTGGTGAAACCACTCCCAGGTGGATCCAGAGCTGGCTAGAATTGGACTCGAGAGAGCGCTACTCAGTGGCCCCTTCTCAGGCTGGGGAGAGGGCAGGGGAGACTCTTCAACGACTTGGTTGAGGAGGTGCAGGGAATGCTGGTCAGGTGTGCAGGCGGCACAACAGGGGGTGGGAGGGCTAATACCCCGGAAGGCAGGTGAGTGATCGCGATGGGCTGGAGCACTGGGCAGAAAGCAACAGAAGGGAACGCACGGGGACGAAGGCCACGTCCCACACCCAGGAAAGGGACGGCAGTTACAAGACGGGAGATACTTGGCTCAGCAATACTGCAAACAAGAAGGTTCTTGGAAGTGTTGTAGATCACAAGCTGAATAGGAGTCAACCATGTGATGTAGCTGCAAAAAACGGCTAATGCTATTTTGGGCTGCATTAATAGAACAATGGCTTCCAATCACATGAGGCCCTGGTTCCCCTCTGTTCAGCACTAGGTAGACCCTGTATTGAATGCTGTGTCCAGTTCTGGGCGACACGCGTCAAGAAAGATGCACACATACTGGAAATAGTTCCGAGGAGAGCAGCAAGGATGAGCAGGGGACTGGGAACAAAGTCCCGCAAGGAGAGCCTGGAAGAGCTGGGCATGCTGACCCTTGAGAAATGAGAACGGGGGTGACAGGAGAACACTTGTCAAATGCTGTAAGGCGGCCACACTGAGGAGGGCCAAGATCTCCTCTCAGTCACCTCAGAGTACAGGACAAGGAATAATGGGCTTGAGTTACAGATTCCCACAAGAAATCAGGAAAAAATTCCCGACTGTTGGAGCAATATAGCGATGGAACCAGTTACCAGAAGGTGTGGGCTCTCCCACACTAGAGGCATTCAAGAAGCAGCTGCGCAGCCACCTGTCAGGGAAGCTTTAACTTGGAGGGACCCAGTGGCCCTTCCCTTCTATGATTTTATATATTCATTCATTAAGCCAGTCTGTAAAACGCTGCAACTCTTCTCCTCTTTTGCCACAGCGATTGCCCCCACACTGTCTCCAGCACCGTCGCTTGCAAGAGGATAGAACAAAAGGTACCCGCGCGGATTAGAGCGGGTGCATCTTGCCCGCGCTCTACAGCTCAGAGCTGCCTGGGCCCCCACCGCACATGCCTTAAGGCTGCTGCCTGGGTTTCTGCTCCCTGTGCCAGGGCCGCCTCGGGGTACTTACAAATGTCTGACAACAAGATGAGGATCGCCTTCTCGCGCAGGCCACAGCAGTTTTCATGTTGGTTCAGATGCTACAGAATTGCAAGAGAGGGTGTAAAGACACTGTCCCTGAAGGCCGTCCGTATCTGGCATATAGCGGAATAACGTCTTTTTCTTCCTCGAGGCCCCTTCAGTTAGTTCGCAAAGGGAGGTCTTTCCAAGGCTGACGTTTAGAACCAATTCATACCCGCAACAGGCAGTGCCCAGCAGCATAATACAGCTGTCCTGAAGGTACGTTGCCCCCGAGCCAGTCACACTTCTGGGCCTGCCTCCATTTAGTGTAGAGCCCAGCCAGAAATGCAGAAAGCTGGCACACCAGGGAGGAGGGGAACTTTCATGCGGAAGCACGACAGGCTGCATCTGTTCCTGGTACACTAAGCAAACTTCTAGGCTCTGAATGTTTTAATTCTAAGTGTGCACCTTTGCAGCAAGCTCCTGTTGTATATCTCAGGGATCTAGTTAAAATAGCCTCAAAGTTATTTCCATGAAGTCTACTCACCCTTGGACTAAAAACACTTTAAGATAAGACTGTCCAGAAACACCTGGCATTAGCCTGGTTAACCCAGATCAAACTACCCAATTTCCCCATTTCGCCCTGAACCACTGGATACTGCAAAAGACTCACTCTTCTGAGATCGCCTCCCTGGCAATACTCCATAGCCAGCAGTGGCAAGTCATTACGTGAAAGATTCTGCATCCCTTCTGGGACATCCCGGGCAGCCACCACATTGGGGTGATTCAGACTGAGAGGGAGACATAAAGGAAACACGAAGATCTTCAGGAGCATCCAGCACTTCCCCTTCAGCCGCTGTTTTCAAGCGTTCTGCTTCTGGCAAACACTTCCTACCCTGACCTGTCTTGCTGTGCAACCCGAGTGTCAGCCGTGACGCTGAGCACCTGCCACAGAACACCTGGCTGTTGCAAAGGATTCTGGGGCATATTTTACAGCACAAACACAGTCCGCCAGTTAGGTCTCAGCATCACTCACCCCTTGTGAACTGAGACTTGGCCCAACACACTTCCCCTGGAGTTGCACACACAAGTTTTTAACATTATGCTATATATATTTATTCTCATGCTACAGATCTTAAGATGATGCAGACTTTAAATAACTATAGCTTTGAATATCATGAACACGTATTACAAACATATAACAAGATTCTGTATATTAAACATTATGGAGGACTATAGTAATTAAATCAAGCAAGGAATTTCAATACATTACTCAATGATAATACAAATGCTATTAAAATTTTTCATATATATAGCAAATAGCAGAATTATAATACATCTGATTAAAATTAAAATCAATTGGAACTAAAGCTATTAAAATCCTATCACTAATAAAATACATGATTTTTACCTATACTCACAGATAAATACTATACAGCAGGTGTGAACGGAAAAGAGATATTCAGATATTTTGGACTTCAACTCCCAGCATTCCTGGTCACTGGTCATGCTAGCAGGGGGTTCTGGGAATTGAAAACCAAAGTGTCTATAAACCTACATCGGAAAGTGCTGGCCCCTGGTTTGGCTGGACTTCCTTCCCTTCCACCACAGACTTTTCTGTTATAACTACTCTGTGGGTTGTGGGCATAGCAATTTTTTTACACATAGTTTTTTGTTTGAAAGCAGAAGCCCCGTTCTGACCCCCTTGCATTACTTGCCCACATGCTTTGGAGGCTGGTGTGAGGCACCGGTTTTGATCTGTTGAGCCTTACTGGTTTGGGACTACAGTACCTGACAGAGCACCTCTCCTGACTGCAGCCTAGGCACTGCACTCAGCATCTGAGTGTCGCCGCTAAAGGAGGCGAGTTACACTAAGGCCTGCCTCGCACCAATGCTGACATCCTTTCAGAGTCAGGTTAAGACATCAGGATGCTCCTGGACGGCCATTTGAGAGGGACGTTTTAACTCACTGTCCTGCACTGAGCAGGGGGTAGACGGTTGGCCTTCTGACCCCTATGAACAATACTACACCATGATTCGATGACTTCTCTATGCCAAGGCTTTTAAAAACAGCACTTAATGCCTTGATAGGAGCACCAAGGCCAAGTTTGTTTTGTATTCAATATTGTTCTAGTTGCACGTTTTTAAAAAGTTGTACTTAAAAATGGCTTTACTGAATTATGGTCCAGTTTTAAGAATAAGTTTTCTTACTTGTAAGCTGATTTGGGAGGATTTCTATCCTGAGAGGTGGACTACAATAATTGAAATAAATAAATGAGAGGCTCTCAAACTACTAGGGAAAGCTAAATAAGTCACTGAGCAGCCAAACAGGATTAAAGTCCCCATGCCCAATGGTTTACTTGAATACAGAAGCCACTCCACATAATAAATGTGCAAGCCACTGATTTTCCAGTATTGCTCACCGTTTCATGATCTGAATTTCCAAGCACCATCTTTCTCGGTTGCGAAGGCTGAGCTCCTGGCGACACTGTTTGATAGCAATCTGTTCCCCGGTTTCCTGTAAAAAATGTGAACACAACACATTGACCATCAGACTCTGATCAAACCTGATAGTGGAGTTAGTTCCTATGCAACTGTTTTAAGATTTGAAGAAGAAAGCACATGTAGGCAGTACTGTATTTTGCACTTATGGCTATTGCACTGTGCATTTATTTATTTAAAACTTTTATATGCCATCACCACATGCCTCGGCCTGTGCATGCGTATGTAAGGGATTCAAAAGCCAGTCCCAGCTTCCATATGCACGGGTACCTGCCTCTGTCAAATCACTATCCCTATTTGGCTGGAAGGGAGACGCTGCAGGTGCCTTTCTAAAATTTTAATCTAAGTCACTGGAGACTAAGTCACCATCTGTTTCTAGAAATCACTGCATAGATGAAAATTGTTTCTAATACGCATTCATATAAATTCATACACAAAATGATAATTGCTTCCTTTCCATCCTTCTATAATCACTTATCCAGATATTAAATGCCGCTGTATTTGAGGTCTGCTGTTTAGTTATAAATACAGCTAAATTTAAATATTAGATTCAACAATCTAAGTTTTTAAAAAGAGAGGGTGGGCAGGAAAGTAAACTGTTGTTGGCCAACTTATTAACTTATCTCGCTTCAGAACCCAGTGCTGGGTTATGTATGGGTGAGGGTATTATTAAGCATAATAACGAACACTTAGAGAGTTTGGCAACCTTGCTGAACGATGCAGAATACACTGCCTGTATATAATGTGGAAAGTTCATGTGTGATCATACTGAGGAACCGCAGTGAATCGGTAGCAGAACACATACTTACTTGCCAAAGGCCTCAGGATCAACCTCTGGCCCTCCACAAAGGACTCAAAAAGATTCCCATCTAAGCCTGGCGGTCTCATGATTGTCCCACCCTGGCAGAGCCCCTCCAGCTGAAGCCCCCTGGGCTTGCTGCCCCTCTTTGCCATTGCATCCTGCTTGCTCCCCCGCCCCTTGCTCTGGCCCAGATAATGGTGGTGGTGGAGGAAATGCCACGGCCTCCTTGCTCCCCACCTCTCTGCCCATCCAGCAAGCAAGCGGCAGCCATATGAGGCGAGACTGAGGGAACTGGACCTCTTCAGCCTGGAGGAGAGGAGACTCAGAGGGGATCTGTTGGCGACATGCAGGTATGTGAGGGGGAGTCACACGGAGGTGGGAAGAGACCTGTTTTCCCCTGCAGAGGAGGGCAGAACACGCTCCAACAGAGCAAAGCTCAGGGAGCCAAGGTTCCGTTTGGATGCCAGGAAGCACTTCCTGACAGTCAGGACCCCAAGGGTATGGAATGGGCTTCCCCGGGAGGTGGTTGAGGCCCCATCGGTGAGGGTGTTCAAGTATAGGCTGGACGTCCACATGGTGGGCATGTCGTGAGCGGAGCAGGCTGGAGCCGGGGGTCAGACTAGATGGCCTGAGAGGACCCTTCTGACTCACTCTGTTTCTATGTTTCTATGATGAGGAGAAGACTGAGAAGAAAAGGTGGCATCTGGGCAGTACTAAGCTTAGATGGACCATAGCTCAGCTCACTTTGTAATTATGTACAATCTGTGTATCTATAATATATTTCCTAAAAAAAATAAGAACGTAAGAAAAGCCCTGCTGGATCACACCAAAGGTCCAGCTAGTCCACTGGGCGCCACGCCTGAAAAAACTTTCGTTGCTAAGCTTCTGAGCATGAGGTTGTACAAGAGCACCACCAAGGCGGGGGGAAAAGAGACAAGAACAATCTTGTGGCTGTTATAGACCAACAAACATACAATGGCCTAAGCTTTCAAGTGGAAGTCCATTTTGTCATATGCTTGAAGTAAGGATCTCTAAGGAACTCAACTTATTTAAAGCCAAGGAGGAAGCATAGGGCCCAATAAGAAAATAAACTTTCTGACCAAACCACTATTATGATAATGTTTAACAGAAGCCCTGCTTTGGTGAGGAGGTGATAAGAAGTAATCACATTAAAGAAGGCACAGAAGGGAAATGTATCCCATCCCTGGCCCGCTTTACTGTAGTCCCAAGGAAAATCCCTCTGCTTTGATGCTGGCATATTCAGTTTGTGGGGAAATCCAAATGGAGGATTTCCTCCCAAAGCAAACAGCAATTTCAGAGGAGGGGTTTAAAAAAAATCAAAGACTATAGCAAGGGAAGCATAAATCTTCCCCTTCCTGAGTCCCCCTGTACCAGCCACCCCATAAAAAAAACCAAAACAGTAAAATGGCTTTTGCAGGCCCAAGTCCACTTCATTAGATGTAGGCTCTGAAACTCCCTGATGAAGGAGGCCAGGCTGCTAGCAGGCAAAGATGTATTTATTCAGACTGAATAAACACTGCTGCTGAAGGGTTTTTAATTGGGCAGGTGCTGCTCATTTCTTTGCTGTGTTTTCATGGTGCTTTTAACTCATTTTTTCATGCTGTTTTAATCACAACTTAGTTTTCATTTGTTCTTTATTGTCAGCCAGCTTGAGTGCTCTTCTCTTGCAGAAAGGAGGGATGAGCTTATCAAGGAGATGACTTTGTATATCCATTAAGCAAACTCTGGAGAGCTTAGGCCACAATAAATATTCTGTCTTCAAAGACAGCACAAGAAAAATTGTTTTCGCTTGCTACCACTCTTTTTCTGGACTGTAGCAACTTCTGATTGTTGTTTAAAAAAAAACTTTAAAGGTTTTAAGTATGTGTATACACTCAAACCATTTTGATACTTTTTATTTCCAAGTTACTGCAATTTCACACTGCAGTTGAAAACCACCTTTCTCAACTTGGAGCCTTCCAAATATGTCAGAGTACAACTCCTATCACACCACACTGCATGGCCAATGGGAGCAGGCTTTTCATTTGAGAAAAGCTTTCAGTTTTAATCCTGGTATCAACAGTACCATCTTTCTGGTGCCTGGTTAAGACTGCCCTCTCTGTTCCCAGGTATTTTATGGCCTTTATGGGTCATTTAACAGGCCTAGCTTCTGTTGAAATCTTTCTAGTTTAATGAATTGCTTTACGTTTTGTATTGGATTTTTATGCTGTGCTTTACAGCATTCATGGTTTATTACTGTATTTTAGTCTTTAAGTTATTGTTATACCTGATGGCTTCAGCTCTTGGATGGCATATTGATTTTGTAATAAAGATGATAATTATGATCATTAATAATTAACCTCCTCCTAATAATAATAACAGCCAGTGTGGCCTAATGATTAGAGTACTGTTCTCGGGGTCAGGAGTTCTGCTTCCTTGGTCATGAAGCTCTGAGAGATTTTAGGCCAGCCATAGAGACTCAGTCTTGCAACCTCACAGGGTTGTTGTGAGGCAAAAATAGGGAGGTTCTTTACAAAAGGAAAACAGGCAGGATATAACTATAATACAAATAAATATATTATCATAGAAGAGTAGAATTGGGAGGGGCCATGAAGGCCATCAAGTCCAACCCCCTGCTGTTGTAGGACACCAAGTCACACCTTCCCACTAAGAGGGCTGCCCAGTTTTGCCTTGAATGCCTCCAGTGTGGGAGAGCCCCCCACCTCTCCAGGCAGCCGGTCCCACTGTCGTGTTGCTCTGGCAGTGAGGAAGCTTTTCCTGGTGTCCAGCCTGAATCGGGGTTATTCCGTGTCCTACACTCTGGTATCAGTGAGAAAAGATCTTGGCGTTCCTCTTTGTGACAGCCTTTGGGGTACTTCTAGAGGGATACCATGTCCCCCTGCCTGTCTTCTCTTCTCAAGGCTGAACATGCCCAGTTCTCCCAGTCTCTCCTCACAGGGCAATGTTTCCAAACCCTGGAACAGTTTTGCTGCCCTTCCTTGGACCCTCTCTATTTTTTCTGCACCGTTCTTAAATGTTGGTGCCCAGAACTGGACACTGCATTCCAGGTGAGGTCTGACGAGTGAGGAGAATAGAGGAAATACAACTTCTCGTGATTTGGAAGTAACACTTCTGTTAACGCATCCCAAAATAACATTTGCCCTTTTGACAGCTGCATCACATTGTTGGCTCCTATTTAGCCTATTGTCCACAGTTACTCCAAGAACGTTTTCTTTTTCAGTTCTATCAAGTCACGTATTCCCCATCTTGTATTGCTGCCTTTGGTTCTTTTTTTCTAGGTGGAGGACTTGACATCTCTCGAGCATTTGCAAGAAACTTGGAAGCCCATCAGAGAGGAATGCATGTCTTCACCCCCATGACCCCTCCTGAGAGCGCTGGACAACAGCTCCTGCCATCGCCGGCACCCAAAAATCCGAGGATGACGGGAGCTGTAATCCGCTGCATGCAGAGGGCTGACGGTCGAGGGGGAAGCCGAGAGAATACGTGGGGCGAGGGCAAAGGGCTGGCACAGGAAAGGCGGCGAGGCCCCTTTCCAACGGGCTTCCCCCCTCCTGCTGCGCCAGGCGGCGGCTTCCAGGAGGGGGCGCCACCCCGAGGAGGGTCGCGCCGCCCCCCGATTTTCCCGACAGGGGCGCCGAGGCTCGGCCCGCGGCGGGGGGGGGGGCAGCGGCCGCCCCGCCCGCCGCGCGCACTCACCTTGTGCTGCCAGCGGATCACGTTGCCGAAGCCGCCGGTGCCGAGGCGCTCGCGCATCTCCCACGGGCCGCAGCTGGTCAGGGGCTGGAGCGGCGCGGGCGGCGGCGGCTGCGGCGGCGCCATGGCTCGGCCGAGCGAGCGCCCGGCGGCTTCCGTCTAGACAGGCGGCGGGCGGGCGGGCGGGCGGGCGGCAGCCCGGCTGGGGAAGCAGCGGCTTCCCGGCGTGGGCGAGGGCCTGGCTTAGCGAACCAGCTCCAGCGGGGCGCGTCTCGCGACGAAGAGTGCCTCTGGGCATCGGCAGAGTGCTCTCATCCTTCCCTGGAGAGGAGCCAGCGCCGGGGCGACCCTCGGGCCAGACGCGTATCGCAGTCGCGGCCTCCGCGTCAAGGAGCGGGCATGCCCGGGGCGGGGAGCCTGTCTCGGGGCCGGCCTGGCCTCCCGCCCTGCCGCGGCCCTCGCCCGAGACGCCCCGAGACGGAAGACAGTGCGGCGGACGCGGGTCCCCTGCGCTTCCGCTTTCCTCTCGCTGGCCCGGGCCCGCGCCCGCGCCGCCTTGTGGGGGTTGTAGTCCTCCCGCGCAGCGGCCGGAACGGCGGCAGCCTTCGGAAAACTACACCGACCATGATGCAACGCGTTGCGCCGTCGGCCGGCTAAGGGCACATCTCTGCGCTTTTCCCCGCATTGTAGAAGGCGAGAGGCGAGAAATGGGTATATTTTCCGTTTGCTTCGGGGAAGAAGCCATGCTCTGTCTGCAGCCCGGGAGGAGAGGGGAAGAGCGAGGGGGAAACCGTGCTTAGACTGAGCAAAGGCCTACCAATCGCAGCATGCCCCAGCCAGGGATTTAGGGTTTTGCTTACACTTCCTAGGAGATTTCACCCTACGTTTTTAAATGAGCCTCCCCACTTCCCCCTTAGGATAACATTTCCCTGCATCGAGGAAAGGCCCACAAACAGTGCAGAGAAGGGCTTCCTAGAAGGAGGGACGGGCATTTTTCCATCAAGTTTGGGTCTGCATCTTTTATTTTCGAAGTTAAAATGCTGTGGCATGCCATTTTCCCTTGCATCTACTCCCTGCAATACCTATTTTGCTGAAGGAGGTAGTATTTTGGGGGTGGTGGGAGCCAGATGGGAAACTTTGACGACTTCCCTGTTATCAAAAGCCGGGAAATACACGCTGGAAGATGACAAGGGATATTCTCCATGGCGGAGTGTTGGTAAGTGGCAAGAAGGGTGTCTGTTGATACTGAGATGTCTGCAAACACCTGTAAGCATAAAGCACTATTGGATGCAACCCAAGCGGCACGTACCTAGACATTTCCCTGGCAACTTCATGCTTCTGCCAAAGTGAGCTCCGATCTACACAAGTGTATCCCATAATAAATGCATTCAAGAAGTATTAAAAGTGATGGCTTATTTTATTATTGTCAGGTTGCGTCTGACGTACAGCGACCCTAGGAAGGGGCGCCCTCCACACTGCCCCGCCCTTGGCAGCAAGCAGCTGGGCAGTGCGCCGCTGTTAGTGGCATAAACGCGGTGTTGTGGTCCAGCCGCGCGGGGGCGGCAGACGCTGCAGGCAAAGAGCCTTGCGCTAGGACGAGGCGAAGGGCAAGGGACCGCTGCAAGGCAGCGAGCGGCCACGTCTCTTACATCCTCTCTCTCGGATGGAGGCATTACAAAAATCATGTTGCATGTAAGCTGGCGCACCAAGCCAGGACATTCATGCTCCCATGTTTTGTGGATGGCCACTGTTACCAAGATAATAACAATGAATGAATTTCAGTTCCCTCTTACAATCCCATCCCAAGACATGGGTATGTCATAAAATAATACTTCACGCATCAGATGAAGTGAGCAGTACTCCATGAAATCACATGTTGTAATAAATGTTTTAAGGTAGAAGGAAGAGGCGTTCTTACTGTGCCTCCTCCTGCAACGTGACAGGCTTTTTTTCCTGCCTAAACTTGCATAGGATAGCTTCTTTCTTCTAGGTGCCATAAGATGCTTGCTTAAATTAACTGCAAAACACACTGGATGTCTGTCCCTCTGGAAATTACAACATTTACACATTCCTTAACCAAAAGCATAAAACACCTCAAGAAAAGCAGATGCTCTCACTTGTTTAGACTCTGCTCTGGATTTTCCACTGTAAAGTGCTACGTATGCCCGGAAGGAGCACAGGTTACTTCAGCCCCGTCCATTAGTCATTTCTGTGTATTTCCCTCCTATACATGTGATACAGTGGCCAAACCAAATCAAGCTTGACTAGACCTCTCAGGAGGCTGGATGAGGCAGGATTTTCCTGGAAACTGATTTATCTCGTAAACAGCAGCGATCAATTCCATTTTGCTTTCCTAGAGGCTGGTTATTTGAAGAATTACCAAGCATCTGACTGTTTGACAGGGTGGTTCTCATGGAACCGCCTAGAGGGTGATATGATTTCAGCTATCAGAGTACGTCAGCACCAAGTATTCTGCAGCCATGTTAAAATTATCCGTCTGCTCCCTCATAATTTGGTACTGCCATAAAGTTCTTTTTCATAGTGCTAAACGGAACCCATGAAAATATCTTCACAAGGCAAAACTGGAAGCTGTTGTGTTTTGAAAAGTGATAGGAAACCAGCAACATTCATGACAAGGTAATTGGCAGTTCTCCTATATGGGAGATGTAATTCTGGACCTCTGTTGTATTGCTGCCAAGAGAGGGGAGGGTCACAGTTTTCTGTTCTAGAAAAGGCTGCATGAATGTAATACAACAAAGGAGCAGCCATGTCAGACCACTCTGATCATTTTTCCCAGATGGACATAGTTTATCCGGATAGGATGCAAGTGTTGACAATTGCACAACTCATCAGCACATTTTAAAAAACAGTGTCAGAGCTGGCTGAAGAAAGACGGAGCTCCTTTTCAGAGAGGGGAAGTTGGCTTGGCATCGTCCGTAGGCTGTACACTCATCCAACTATTTACAAATGTTGCTTTTGCCACTTCAGGAATACACAAAAGCCCATTTCACCAGAGAGAGCCCCTGCTAAAGAAGTAAGAGCACACCTCTGGCTCTCTGAAAAACATGAATTGTTTCCAGGTGAGTGCACAGAATCATTTCTTCAAACAGCGCTTGTCATCTTCCAGCGTGTATTTCCCGGCTTTTGATAACAGGGAAGTCGTCAAAGTTTCCATTTTTGGAAAGGGGAAAAAGTTATGCATGGCAGAGCTAGGTAATTTTAGATTTTGGACGTCATGATCTTATAAGTAGCTGCGGAAATTGCTTCAGTCATGAAACCTACCATGAACCTTTCTCCTCTGCTGCCCCACTCAGCTGCCATTACATCATGTTCCCTTATATTCCTGACAGGATAGAACACCAGTATTATTTGCCAACCCTGATGGGGGGGACCCCTAGGTGCAGTTTTTAATTTTGAATTAATTTATAGCACCACAACTACATGAATAAAATGGAGTTTGCTTCTGCTGCTCTCTCTGAGCAAGTCCCTGGATTGTCCCCACGCTGCGCCACTGAAGAACTCGCTCTGAACTTGCGTGTTGTCCCGTAAGAGCTGGATGGAGGATTTTGGAAGGATCATACAAAGGATGTGGCCTGAAGCAGGACCTGAGATGTTGACAGGAAGCAGCAGCTGGCAAGCCCCCCCTTCTTGTGTCTTTCAAAGACTAAGGTACCATGGAAGTTGGCTTTCAGTTAAAACCTTCTCTGACCGCTGAGTTTCCTGCCAGCTTCTGGACCTTTTAGGGCATGATTTCACATGACTTTAACAAACTCACCTCACCCGACCAATGGCTCCTACAACAAGGGGTGAGTTCAGAAGACAGAACACCCTGCCAATGAGCTATGCCGTGGAGGTTGCTTGTGGAGCTCTACACCATGTGCGTGGCAAACAGCTGGGGTCACCATCGGTTCACCTGCAGCACGCCCACCCCTGTCCCAGGGAGCGTGGCAGCTGAAACCACCTTGCCTCCCCTCCCCACTCGCAACCCCTTTCAGTCACTGCCACAGCATTTCCCCCACGTTCCTTCTGTTTCTCTGCCCTTTCAGGATTTCCAGCAATGGCAGCCCCTCCAAAATGCCCAAGCAGCACAGCGGGGGGCTCCCACCGCCTCCCCACTTCTTTTAAAATGCATGTTTGGGGCACCGGACCCGTCAGAGCCGAAGGACCGCACAGAAGCTCTCCAGAGGCAGGAAGACTCGGGCGGTGTCCCAGGAGGAGGACCCGGCGGCTAGCCGAGGTGGGCAAGGCCCATCCAGAGCACGGGGCGCATCGCATTCATCCTGCACCCGTGCAGCTCACTCCCTGGCACAGCTTCACACAGGCCCAGAGATGTCCTGCTCTGGTTTTGCAGCTCCTACAGCTCAGGTAGCGAGGCTTGGAAAGAGCCCTGCCCGAGAGCAGGGCCAGGGATCAGTGGTGCTGGGAAAATTCAGATAAATCCTGGCAGAAAAACGTTGCTTATATGTGCCTTTGTGCTATAAAATCAAACCTGCAACTCTTTCTCACAAAGCACCAGCTTTCCAAACCAAGTTTCTGTTTAATATTGCTGTTGCCTTAAGAAAATGGCATTCTTAGCTAGACTGAGAAGCCTCACTAATACTATTAGCAAGGAAATACCTGTGTTCTTATCAGCTGTAGAAAAACTGAAATAAAGATGCTCATTTACATCTGAATGGGCCCACCTACACAGAGGCAAGCGCCTGCTGAGTTTAAGTTGCCAAACCAGACTTCCTGAAGGGCTCCTCCATCAGACACATTTGCATGTGTGAACAGACTGACCCAGAGGACCTGAACTGTCAAGAATTTGCTAGACTGACCTATCAATACAGCAATCAGTCATGTTTTCCATACTATTGTTAACAGTATTTTAGAGCATCCTGTCACGCCTAGAAACATCAGGCTGCTCTTATACTAAGATAAGGTACTAAGATAAGTCTGGAAACTTAACTCTCTGCATTGGTGTATGTGACTAGCAGGTTATAAAAGTGTCTGCACATGGGCTGTGATTTTGTAGTTGAGTTTATCTCTACCCGGCAATGCATTATTGTTAGTGGACTGCAGGTACTGGGACACTGGACAATAAAGCAGCAGAAGTTCAGATGGCTGATCTTTCCCATGAATCCAAGTTTTTATTCCTCCCCACAAATTGAAAACCGAGATTCTGTCAGTGGCAAGGGCTGGGAAAGACAGCCGTCCTTTTCCAGGGGTTCCTCCTTGTTTGGGGGCCCTGGTGCCCTCCAGCTGCATTGAACTCCAGCCCTGTCGGGGCAGGGGGCCCGTTGGGGGAGGCTGCTTCAGACACTAGCCAGCAGTTCCAACTGCAGCCCTCAGCCCCTGGTGCTGCGCTGTTTTCGTTTTAAGTCTCCAGTCGCATCATTTATTCACTGTGATGAAAACCCTGTAAGGGGAACAGCCGCCAAGCAGCTCAAATCTTATATTCGCTTTTTAAAAATGTGTTTATCTTCTTCCAAGGCAAATATTCCCCTGCTTCCCAGAACCAAGCTAAGCGGTGCAAAAGGCTTGCTTAGTGTGTGGGAACAGGCACTCCAGCTTTATTGCTTCCTATATTCTTTATCATCAGGAACTCCTTCCTGCCAATGGCTGCATCCGTGCGGGAGAAGAACGAGCAGAACAGCTGCTCTGCAGCCGCCCACCGGCCCCGAAGGGCTCGGAAAAGATACGCTGCACCAGCCTGGAAGATGCATGTTGGCCTAACACACACACAGTTTTTAATAGCGTGATTGTTTTTGTTTTTAAATCATTCATTGTTGGTTTCAAATCGTTTACAGCTACAGTAAGTTGTGTTTATTGCTTTGACCTTTTGTGCACCACCTTGATGGTTTGAAGAGAAAGACAATCTAATAATATAGATGTTTAAATAGGTCTGTAAATTTGTAAATATTGCCTAGGATTTATGTAGCTGTCATAAAAGGCAAGGCTAGTAACTTAGTTTTCACGTAAACCACCAAAATGAGTTTCAATTTAAAAAGACCAATTATGCTGTTAATTTTCATCACACACCCCATGCACTAACCTTCCCATCTCCCCTTTCTGCGATCCTAGAACGAAAGTTTGGAGCGAAGGAATGAGTGGCATGAATGATGGGGGGGGGCGCTGCGGAGGGGGGCTGTCTCCTACTTGAGATTTGCTTCCGTCCTTGGGGAAGACGGGTGGACTCTGCAATAGCTTTCCCCACTCCCCCTCCACAGGCCTCCCAGCTGGGTCAGTTTGAATAACTGAGATTTTGATTTCTGTTAATCTTGCTAGGAACTGCTGGTCTCCTGGGGAGGGCTTGGAGAGGGCTCCCTCCTGCTTGGGGAGGCATGCTCAGACGGGATGAGCACAGCTTGACTCCATCCCTCCCAGCCTCTTGCAGGAATTCCAGGAATGCCCCTCCGTGGGCCTGGGTGGAGGCAGGCAACCTGCAAAGGAGCAGAAACGACCCCGTGGCTCTCCAGGCCCGAGAATGTGTCAGTTCGGGAGGGAGAGAAGAAGCAGAAAATGAAAATGGCACTGCCGGGGGACCACCTCGAGCATACCGAGCATTTTTCTAATGCCTCCCAGGAAAGCAGGACTGCCGGGTGCTTCCGTGGGAGAGAAGCAGGGCACTTTTCTGTTGGTAGCAACGCGACGGGCCAGGGAGCCGCCGTATCTGTGACTCTTGGACAGGGGCCATTGAACTGGGGCGGGTGGCCATGCGCGGCCGGGCAGGGCAAGGTGGCCGCTGACGGGAAGGATGACCAAAGCCCTCGTCAGCTCTTTACTATGCCCAGCTCAACGTGAACGGATATGGTTTGGGAGTTACACCCACAACTGCAGCTTCAGGAAACAGTTCGTGCATCCTTCCTCACTCCGAATCCAGTCGCTGTGATGTTCGCCTGACCTCGTGGCCCTTTGACAATGCGCAGCTACGACCTGTCTGCCTCCACATTTGGGGGCTGGGGAGGCAAAGGGGGAGCTGCCTCTGCAAAGGTTCCTTATCTCCTACGCCGACGTTCCCCAGCCGTGGGGGCACGACTGTGGTTTGGAGAGCGTATGGGGCCCTCTGAAAAGCAGCTGCCACGGGGGAGGCTTGCCTGTCCATGAAATGCTTCCCATGCTGTGCTTGGCACATTGTCCCAAAGCTGCCGAGGCTAAAAGTAGCTTACCCCAGCGCAAGGCAGCGGCGAGGGCCGAACTCCAAACTTCTGAGCCCGAACGGCATTCACATGGCAGCATTGTTAGAGAAAGGCCAGCCATTCAGTAATGCTGCCTGCTCGCTGGAACTTGCAAGAAGACCCAGTACAGACCCTTCCTGTGCCCAGCGCCCGTGGCCTCAGCCAGGCCATGGGCCAAAGGCCTCTGGTAGCCTTAGCAATAGCTTTGGGCCGCTGAAAGCAGCTCCTGATTTAGGCTCTGTGTGTTTAAAGCTGTCGATCAATTGCTCAGTGAAAGCTTTACATGCTGAAGGCTGCAGATCAGTTAGTTAGAAGCTGAATTAAGATACCTGGATGCTTGGAAAGTAACACCTGGCCTAATCAAAGTGTTATGGCAAAGCGGTTACCAGGTAACCTTCGCTAACTCTAGCCACAAACGAGGTTTGGGAGACATCTAGCAACACCCCAAATGTCACAAGAAACAATTCTTAGAAAAAAACAGCAAAACACCTGGCCACAAGACCCTGCTAATGACTCTCCAAAGGTGCCATGGCGTGGGAGGCCAGGCTTGGCTGATCTGGAACTGGAGAGCACCTGGACACGTGCAGTCCAAACTGCTTGCTAACCTGTTACCTACCAAGACCACACTGAGGCACTTGCTTTCTGTCAGCTCCACTTTTGGGCCTGAGCCACGCTGCTGACCTCTTTTGCATGAAAAATAAATGGATTGAGTCTCTACTGGGCATCACTTCCCCTTTTCCTGATAATTGAGACCCACCCGGAAAGTGACCAAGAGCATTTTTGCAACCGGATGGCAGCCAAAATCAAATTTCCAAAATCAAGTGGCCAAAAGAAATTGTTCATAAAACTTCGTTAAATAAAAATCAGTAGGGAGCACAAGCAAGGAGGCTGCCTAAGAAGGATCTGCAGGCAGATAGTGGAGACCTCAGTGCTCTGTGAAGTCACAATGTTTTGTTTGTTAGTTTTCTCTCCTGCCTTTTCTTCTGCAAGCAGCTCAGGGTGTCTTTCATGATCCTTCTCTCTAGGTTATCTTCACAATGATCTTGTGAGGGAGATGAGGCAAAAACTCAGTAAGTGGCTTAAATTCAAGCAGGAAGATTCATGGCTGAGGACGACCTAAAGCTCAGGTCTGCAAAGTCCCAAATCTAATCTTCTAGCCACTAGTCCACACTGTTTCGTTTGATTCCATCATGAAACTAAATGATGCAAAGACCACAGTGTAGGAATTTTAAATTTGAGTGGATCTGAGTCAAGCTACACCTCATGGAAGAGAGCCCTGGCTGGCTAACCCAATGCCTTCAGCAGGCATGGGGCTGATGGGGAAAGCTTGGCGCTTAATTGAAGCCGCACCCAGGGCCGTCTTAGCAGCATGATGGGCCCCGGGCAAAGCAGTGTCCCGGGGCCCCTACGACAACTGCAACTACTGTTAATTTCGGAAGTGTTCCCATTTTGCAAGGGTTAACATACACAGGTTCGTATGGGGCCCACGGGCCAGTGCCCACCAGGCCCACGCGTTCAGACGGCCCTGGCCATGTTAACTGAGGATAGGGCATTTAGCACCACCCCCTGCCCATTTTTCTACAGTAAAACAGTTGTCTCAACCTGCACTGGACGATAACAGTGATTGGGTTTAGCCTACAGGATAACTCAAAGACTATGTACGGGCTGAGTGGGGATCATCATGGAATTGTGGGTTCTCGTGGTGACCGGACCCAGCCACATTAACAAGCCATGGGCCGTTAATCACAAACATCTCCCGAAGAGAACCTGTGGTTTGTTGTTGGGTTGCAAACTATGGATTGCTCACCACGGTTTGCTGTCTTGGAAGGGTTCTAGTTCTAGTTCAACCACAGCCCACGCGCAGCCCTTGTATGTGCGGCAGTGTGTTGTCTGAACCCGGCCAAGATGGAAACGCTGCTGCATTCAGACTGAATGGGTTGTGCTTCTTGAGAAGAGCCAGAAAGTTGTTCAGGGTTACCCCTGGGAGAGAGAGTGCTGCAGAATGGACTTTGTTTCAGTCATACTTGGAAGAGGGTCTTCAGGGTATGGGACAATCTTGAAGTAGTGTATTTTTCCACTCCGGGTCTAAAGGGACCAGTGTTGTTTGCAGAAATAGTGCCAAACTGCAAAGCTCTAGTGTCCGTGCTCCAATGAGGTTGGAGTCCCCTGGAACACACCCGAGATTTAGGAGAAAAGGAAAAATACTGCGAGAGTGGAGCACAGAACTCCGGCGTCACGGGGCACATGGCCCTCCCACAGCCATTAATGGGAAAGACTCCTCTTTCCGAACGGGAAAGTACACATTCATATCGCTAAGTAGCACTAATTCCTTGCTCACGCCACAGTAGGAAGAAGTCCACCTTGCTTCCAGCTGTGACAATTGTTCATTCTCTCCATTTTATTAAAACAGCTTGCACTCTGCAAGCATGCAGCTTCATTTTTGGCTCGGTTCAAAAGAAACGAGGGCCTCTTTCTTCACGTGGGAACAGCCGCTTTGGCCGGAGCGAAGTGCTGCGCGGGCCAGCTGGGATGAAATGTCGCCCTTCTGCCGACTCCAGTGTCCCAAAACACCTCAAAGATTTGGAAAGAAACAGAGCTCAAGAGCCATGTCCTTGTAGTCTCCATTACATCCCTCAGTAAAATGCAATAAATACTGTGACATTCTTTACTCGGTTCGCACCCTGCTGAGCAACAAAAGCAAATGCTCAGCGCAGCCATGAAGCAAGGGCTGCTGACCACGCCAAGGGCAGGCTCCTTTCTGGGGCAGCGGTCCGGTTTTGGGAATTCTTCCGGCCTGGAGATGCGGCAGAAGGGAAGTGACCTTCCCCAAAACAGTGGGTTCAAAGTGAAGGTGTGCTCTGAGCCCCAACACACTGAACGAGGCCTCCGAACAAATGAACCTGTTTCGCAGCATCTGTTGCTGCTGATAAGAGAATGGGTGTGCCATTTATGTATTTATTCATTTTATATGCTGTCCCACTAGCCATCAGCTCTCTGGACAGCTGACACCAGGATAAAATCCATGAACAGCCTAATAAACAGTACACAACACAACAACTCACAATTACAAAAGACTAATAACAATAACATCCATAAGTAGACTACTAATATTAGATAAAACAAAGCAAAATAAGAATAATAAAACAATCAATAAAATACACATTATATAAGACTCCAGAAATGAAACATAGACCGATTAAATTTGCTTCATGTTACTGGCCCCGTGTCACCCACTGAACCTCACAACCAAGGACAGATTCGAACCCAGACCTCCCAGTTCCCCACTCCACTACTCTTCCCTCTGTACCACAAACGCCCCATGGAGAAAGGTCTAAGTTTCCATAGCATTCTATAGTTCATAAACAAAACCCTAACAAAAATATCGCAGATTGGGAATGAGCCCTGACCAAATCAGGACTGAATTGTGCTTCTGGAGACCTAGAAACAATTACTGGACAGACTTTACTTGTCATGATGGTAAAATGCTGGTTAGTGCACAATTCATCACTCATCTGCCCACTCCTGCAGTCCGGGGCCATGGTAGCAATGGCAAAAGGTTCGGGGTTGTTCTGCGGTTGTGAGGATGGCGCAACGGCAGAATTTTCGCCTCTCCTTCTGCTTCCAAAACGGATGCTAAAAAGAAACAAATAACAAACTCTTCAGAACAGGAGAGCAGTTTTGGCTGTATCTGCATTTATCAGGGAAATATCTTTATGTGGGTTGTAAAGATAAAAGATTGTGATGTCATCCAGCCGCTTCATGGAACAGCAAGTTCTGAAAACATCACAGAGCTGATATACTGCTTTGATATGCTTTCTGAATGGAGAATTAAACAACGGAGACAGTGTTTTGTCGTGTCTGTGAAATTCATTAGTAGGAATCCATTATGATAACGTACCTTTGGAAGCAAACAGCAAATGCCGTTGCTTTGTTCTGCTTTCCGAATTTGGACCTGAAGCAGGATCACGAAGGTGCATGAGGGGCCGTGGCAGTGGGAGTGCAGAACTGATGCGCTGCCTGGCAATGGTGCCCCCCGCCCTGGTTGCCTCCCGCGTGGACTGCTGCAGCGCGCGCTGCGTGGGGCTGCCCTTGAAGACGGTCTGGGAACTGCAGCTGGTGCAGAACGAGCCGCCAGGCTGCTGACGGGGACCAGCCGTTACTCTCACGTAACGCCAGGCCTCTACCACCACCGCGCCCCGGCAGTCGACGCCGGAGAAGAACTACTGTGCCCCAGCCTTTGCCGCGTAGACCGCGCCGCTCCGCCATTCCACCACCCACCTGGCTGCTCTGCCATGCCCCTGCACGCGTTCGAGGCGTGCCGGACGAGGCAGGGCGCCGGGAGCCAGGGCCGGCGGCCAAAGGGCGGTCGCCGCCGTTCGGGGGGGCCGAGCAGGGGGCTGGGCTGGCCAGGGGGCTTTCACTTTCGCTGTGTTAGGCCCTCCTGCTGAGCGGTGAATTTTTAAATGTTTTTATAATTTTAAAGTGTTTTAAATTGTTTTATGGAGTCGTCCCTGGCCATGCTGCCGCTTGCATTTCCTGGGGAGCGCACCGGCGCCGCCATTGGGGTGGTTATGGGCAATGGACGTAACGGCGGTGGGAGCTTAACGTGTCCGCATAGAAGAAGGAGGGACAGATGGCTGACACCTGTCCCTACTTCTGGTTTTGCTCCCAGCCAGAGGGTGCCAGGGAGTCTTGTCAGTCGCCCCTCGGGCCTGACGGTGCTGCTGCTTAATTCCAGGTCGGTCAATAACAAATCTGCCCTCATCCATGACTTGATTGTGGATGAGGGGGCCGACCTGGCCTGCATAACGGAGACCTGGGCGGGAGGGGAGCGACGTTGCCCTCTCCCAAGTTGCCCGCCCAGGTATCTGGTCCAGCACCGCTCACGGCCGGAGGGGAGGGGAGGGGAGGGGAGGGGAGGGGGGGTTGCTTTAGTTTACCGAGCCTCCATCTCCCTCACGGGACTTCCTGTCCCTTCGAGACCAGGACTGGAGTGTCTCTACTTGGTGTTGGGTGACCGAGACAGATTGGGGATTCTGTTGGTGTACCGTGCACCCTTCTGCCCAACAGTCTCCCTGCCTGAGCTGACGGAGACGGTCTCGGACCTGGTGTTGAGGACCCCCAGGATGTTGGTCCTGGGGGACTTCAATCTCCATGCCGAGACTGGGCTGACCGGGGCGGCTCAGGACTTCATGGCCTCCATGACGGCCATGGGGCTGTCTCGACATGTCATAGGCCCGACCCATGAATGTGGACACACTCTGGACCTGGTTTTCTCGACGGGGCAGGAAGAGGGTGGTCTGAGGGTGAGGAATTTATGCTTGACTCCCCTGTCATGGTCAGATTACTTCCTGGTGAGGTTTGTGCTTGAGAGCGACCTCTCCCTCTGTAAGGGTGCGGACCCGATTGTGTGGGTCCACCCCCGGAGCCGGATGGATCCGGAAGGATTCCTGAAGGCTCTGGGGGAGTTTCCGGCCGACAAGACGGGTGCTCCTGTCGAGGCTCTGGTCGAACTGTGGAACGGGGAGATGACCAGGGCTGTAGACACGATCACTCCTAAGCGCCCTCTCCCACCAGGCAGAGCCCGCTCTTCCCCTTGGTATACTACTGAACTGAGGGCGATGAAGCAGGTTGGGAGACGGCTAGAGTGTAGGTGGAGGAAATCACGAGATGAATCTGACCGAACACACTTAAGAGCCCATTATCAGGCCTATGCTGTGGCAGTGAGGGCAGCAAAAAAGAGATTTTTTTCCGCTTCCATTGCCTCCTCACAATGCCGTCCGGCGGAGCTCTTTCGAGTGGTGCAAGGCCTGGTTCACCCAGGCCCGAAAGAAGATCTGATTCCACCCTCAAAGGCCCGCTGTGACGACTTTGCCAGGCATTTCAGGGAGAAAATCGCTCAGATTCGTCTCGAGCTGGATTCCACTATTGAGTCAGAGGTCTTAAGGGAGACACCAATGCTACTGTCTGGTCCAGAATTATTGGATGAATTTCAGTTACTGCGGCCCGATGATGTGGACAAGGTGCTTGGACGAGTATGTCCCACCACTTGCCTTTTGGACCCTTGCCCGTCTTTGTTAATAAAGGATTCCAAGCACGGGATTGGAACCTGGATCTTGGAAGTGGTTAACGCTTCTCTGAGGGAGGGTCAGGTGCCTGCCCCTTTAAAGGAGGCGGTAGTCCGACCGGTCCTGAAGAAGGCGTCACTGGATCCAGAGATGGCCACTAATTATAGACCAGTGGCCAACATCCCGTTTCTGGGCAAGGTGTTAGAGTGAGTGGTGGCGGGACAACTCCAAGCACTCTTGGATGAAACTGATTATCTGGACCCATTTCAGTCCGGCTTCAGACCCTGGTATGGTACTGAATCTGCCTTGGTCGCCCTGTATGATGACCTGTGCAGGGAGAGAGATGGGGAGTGCGTCCCTGTTGGTTCTCCTGGACCGCTCAGCGGCTTTCGATACCATCGACCATGGTATCCTTCTGGATAGGCTTGCGGGATTGGGGGTCGGAGGCACTGCTTTGCAGTGGTTCCACTCCTATCTCAATGGCCGAATCCAGAAGGTGGTGCTGGGGGACTATGGCTCTGCGCCATGGCAGCTATGCCATGAAGTACCGCAGGGGTCCATTTTGTCCCCTTTGCTGTTCAACATCTACATGAAACCGCTGGGAGAGGTCATCAGGAGGTGTGGGCTGCGGAGTCATCAGTATGCTGATGCTACCCAGCTCTACCTCTCGTTCTCCACCAATCCAGGTGAGGCAGTGGCTGTACTGAACCGGTGCCTGGCCGAAGTAATGGGCTGGATGAGGGCCAATAAACTGAAGCTCAATCCAGACAAGACGGAGGTCCTGTTGGTAGGCGGTTTAGGCTTCAGAGAAGGTGAACTGAACCTTGTCCTGAACGGGGTTGCACTCCCTCCTAGGGATAAGGTCCGCAGCTTGGGAGTGCTCCTCGACCCGGAGCTTTCACTTGAAGCTCAGGTGACAGCAGCGGCGAGGAGCGCTTTCCTCCAGCTTTGGCTGATTCATCAGCTGCGCCCCTATCTGGAGTGCAACTGCCTCGCAACAGTGACTCATGCACTGGTGACTTCCCGTCTTGACTTCTGTAACGTGCTCTATGTGGGGCTACCCTTGAAGACGGTCCGGATACTTCAATTGGTTCAAAATAGAGCTGCCAGGC